AAAACTATCTTTTCGGATATCTTCGCGGATTTTTGGTACCCGTCAATCAGTGTGACCATAATTACTGTAAAGCATTCGAAACGTCAGAAACCAAAAATAAAACCGCGCAAAAAGTGTAATTTTTGTCTTAAAATATTAAATATCGTCCCCTTTCTGTGTAAACCTCGTAACTCCATTTTTTTCGAAATTGAGATTTTTAGCGAAAATCACTCCTTAGCACTCTTGTAACGTAAAACAAAACATGCAATGTTCATAATGTTGATAGATATTTTTTTAGAGGCTTTTGATTTTTCTCGTATCTACATGTTCGAATTCAAAAACCTCGTATCTACCGTAAGTATCGCTGAAAACGTTAAGATGGCGTTGTTGTCTTATTACTGAATGTTTGTAAACATGTTCACACTTAAGTTGACTGTATTTTGTTGATTGACATTTATTTTTTATTCATATGAATACATATAAGTATTAATATAAACCATAAGTAAGTATTATTTATTTATATACTTAAAATTTCTTTTTTAAATAAAAATCATTTATTGAATTTTTATTTCACATCAAGTAAATAAGAAATAAAATTATTGTTCAAGTTATTTCTTATTACTTATTTTTCAGATTATCCTGCTGTTAATTTGTACATTATTCCATAAATTGTAAACATATTTGAAAAAAATAATTAAATCATATTATAAATAGTAATCATATGATTTATAACACATTAAATCAAAATCAAATGAATTTGTTTTAATTAATAAATATAAAATAATAATGAATTGAATGTGAAAGCCTTGCATAAAAAAATTTTCGCCAATGATCTTATAGAAAAAAAAAATCAAAACCTCGTATCTGCAAAAAAGTTACAAGGGTATTTGATGAAAAAACTCGTATCTACGTTAAATTGATAATAACAACAAGGTATCGATGCAGATAGCAAAAATGATGTTTAATTATTTTAAGGTGATAAATAAAGAGTATAAATTTTAAATTAGTTATAACTTTTTATGAAAATTAAGTAACTCTAAACGTTTTTATCGATTTACTGAAAATTAAGATTTTGTAGATACGAGGTTTACACAGAAACGGGACGATATGTTTAATACAAGTTACCTTACTGAATTGCGATTGTGAACGTCTAAAATTCACCACTGTTCCCACGACATGACTCATATCACTGCGCCCGAAATCGGGAAAGGCGCAGCCTTCGAACACTTGCCTTCCGCCTTCAATTTTAATTAAGTTTCAATTAATTATCTGCGGCTAAACGTGTTATTGAAATAAAAATATATTTAAAAAAGCGTCCTTTCTGATATAAAAATAGTTAAAAGCACATGTTTTCAACTTAACACATTTAATTTTAAAGCTCTAAGTCTTATTAGATTTTCGGCAATTTGACAAAACGTTTAAACTATAATTTTGTATTTAGAACATTATACTATGCTTTTAAAAAGATAGGTTAAATCACCTGCTATTTTTCTCTTTCATTTGGCTGGAAACGCTGGTATGTATAAGTAATAAATTTATATACCTATTGATAAAATTATTACATTTTAAATAAAAATAATTAGTTAGAAAAACAGTATAAAACGTCATCCCCTCCCCTTCCCCGTTTTTTTAAGTAACTAGGGGCGAACCCGAGCGGAGCGAGGGTGAGTCGCTAGTCATTCATAAAAAGAACATAATCCAGGCAAAAATATTTGTGACAAGCTAATAAGACAAACAATAACATACATACTTGTAACTAAACTGTCAAAAAATACTGTTGTCGCGAATTTTTATTATGATTTTCCAAATCAATGCTAATACCTGAGTGTTATAAAAAGAATAATAATGTACTTGGCCTTTGATTTAAATATATAGAGAGTACATTTATGTACAGTGTACAAATTTAACCTTAAACAATTTAAATTCGCAAAAACCAACGCAACATTCCCATTCAACACATGGCTTTTCCTTAATAAGGCGGGTGGGTCCGACGCGTCAATTTAATGTAATTTCTTCATTGTAGCGATGCAGCCTTCGTCCTTACTTCCGGTCATTGTTGAAAATTGTTAAGGCACGTACAGATTATTGGCCTTTGATTTGACATAACATATTATGTATTTATTTTTAATTGTGTTATATTAAAACTAGTTATATAACCACGTTTCGCTTCGGTTCGTCTTTATACATATGTCCAATAGTTAGTCTATACGATACTCTAAGTCATCTGTATTTTGTATACTATTTTATTGTATTTTGTATACTAAATATCATCCAAATCTGTCCAGTAGTCTCACCGGGAATTCGTAACAAACATATAAACTTGCGCATTTATAGTAGTAGTCTGAATCTTGTTTTTTACCGTTGTTATTTTTATACGATTGCCAGCACTAGTTTTATATGTATATTTTTGATTTTTATACAGATTTTTTGCTAGTATTTTATTTTTATTTTGGTTTTATATGCAAGCACTACATTTGTGTGTTTTATTATGTTTTTTTTTAAATACTTTTAATTTTTATGACAAATTCTATCTTTTCATTATTTTTTTTAATTTTAATCGTTAATACATACATACAAATACCTAGTTCAAAAAGTTTTTATTCAAAGTGCATTAATATAATATGTACATAAAGATAACCCTTTACTCTCTGGAACGCAACAGTCGATCATAATTCCCGCCATGCACTCCTCGCTGACTAATTAACAATGCAATTAGAGCAGAACATCGGACGATTCAATCGATACTCTATTCTGTAAAAATATTTAGGCCATAAGCGTTTTATTGTCAGCAATATTTCGGTTATATAATGACAATCTAGGTTTTGTAATTTTGATTGACTCACAAATCATATCATTTTGTACTAAGAAATGTATAGATTTGAAATTTAAATAAAATATTTCTTAAACAAGATTTTTTGACATACAAAAATCAATCTTTCTTTAGCTATATAAATTTCAAACTTGGTACTTAAATACTATTAATAATTCGTTTCATTTCACAATATAAATATGTTATAAAGAAGAAGTAAAATAATGGTAAAAAACATATTTAAAAACAAGCTTTTATTTAAATGCTCTAAAATGAAAAGAAACTTTAAATTATATGAAACCCAACAACTTATTACATAACACAATTTATCTATATACTAATATTATAAAGAGGTAAAGTTCGTGAGTTTGTGACTTTTTTGTGAGATTTATAAAAAACATATTTTTTTAACATTTTGCCTTTTGCTTATCTACACAGGTAAATCTCGCGACATGCTTTTATACCATAGGTTAATTCCCCATACAAAGATAAAAAGTATCTTATGTCCTTCCCCGGGTCTCAAACTATCTTCTTACTAAATTTCATCTAAATCGGCTCAGTAGATCCAGAGACTACCCCCTACAACGTCACAAACTCACAATTTTACCTCTTTATAATATTATTAGTAAAGATAAATTATGTAATGTAATAAATTGTTGAGTTTGATTTAATTGAAAGTTTATTTTCTTCTTTTTAGAGCAATTAAATAAAAGCTTTTTTTAAATGTGCTTTACAATCATTTATTTTTTATTTTTTAGTCATTCGTATTCTTCTCAGCAAATCCTTTCATTTAACTTGCAAGATTTGACTACAGACAGACAGACACTGGGACAGATGGAATTAATAAAAGCTTGTAAAATAGAGACTTGCGAAGCCATCAATATCTAGTATTATTGTATAGAAATCAAGTTAGAATCCTATACACAGTACACACCCACATGCTAATTAGAAACAAATGGAGTACAGCACCAAAGAACGCCCTCGCATTTCATTAACAGTACCATGCAGTATTATCTCACTTAACCTTGACCGAGTATTTGAAAACAGCTCAATCAATTATTATGAATTGAGAATCTTGTTAAGCTCAAAATTAACAAAATATTCTTACATTAGTTATGATGATATGAAAACGTTTCCACATCCATATACAATAAAATGAATGTTTGTCTTCCATGCGTTCTTTTATTGCATCCCATTGTGATGAAACTTTGATGAGTTGTTCTAAACACGCCAGCGAAGGTTTCTGGGCCAAAAAAAGACAGTTTTTCTTTGTATACTAGGAATTTCTTTGCGTTCCTAAACTATTTACTTGCGTGCGAAGCGAGGTAGCCAGTTACTTATAAAATTGACATATATGAGAGAAATTTTATTATAAATCGATTTTATATGTGTTTTTTGATCTTTTTTAATGTTTCTTATTGAACAAAAAGGTTTCTTTCAATCTCTATATTTTTATTTAACAACTAGGATTGCCCGCGGCTCCGCCCGCGTTCGATGACCAAAAACCAAATTCTTAGGTTTTACATAGTAGTATACTCTTACAATGCAGTTTTTGTATTTTTTCTCAGAAATGAGATATTTTCCCGCGGTAAAAAGTATCCTATATGTTGACCCAGATAACCAGCTATCATCATACCAAATTTCATCAAAATCTGTCCAGTGGTTTTCTCGTGATGCGGTAATAGACAGACAGACAGACAAAAATTCTAAAAACTATAGATTCGGATTCTGTATCGATAATAACGTCTATTTCAATTAGATTTTTCAAAAAATATTTAATGTACAGATTCGACTTAGTTACAATTTTATTATAGATGTAGATATAGATGATATCCGTTGGCTTAAAATTCGCTTTAAAATAGTTATTAAACTCTTTGAAGACTAATAAAATTTTAAAATTTCATCTTCATGAGAGTTCAAGAAAATAAAATATTGACTTTTAATTTTTTAATAGTCTTCCGCTCTAGGATGACAATTTGGTAATTGGGTGTCTAAAGGAAATAAGTCGAACCCAAAATTACAATTTTAAGTCTATTTCTATTTTTATTTATTTTAATTAATTACTTTTGAATAATAATAATAATTTATTAATTTTGAATAAACATAAATAACATTACTTTTATAATAACAGCAATTATGAATAATATTATAAGAACGTCACTATTACCTTCAACATATTATATTTTAATAATAATTTCAAATTAATTTACAGGAAGACAGCGAAGAAATTGGTGATCTCTACCAGGACGATGAGAACGGAGCAGCTTTACTGATCAGAAGACATCCCAAGCATGGAAGGCTTGTAGTGGTAAGTAGGCACTTTAGTCGTAAATGGTTTTCCTTACGAAGTTCCTTAATATAATTCTGTCCAGCTCCCAATAGGTCAAAGTTGCAATTAATTTTGCCTTAGTATTCTTTCCTTTAGCGAAAATATTTAATATTCCTAAAATATTAATATATGTAGTAATATTTTGTGTATGTTATGTATAAATTAAATTTGCTATATATTTTGTAACTAAATAATATCTAAATATAACAAATAACTGTATACTAACTCTAATCTTGCAATCCATGCAAGAATAAATTTGAAGAAATAATCAATCATTTTAAAATATATTTACTTACTAGAGAGTCACCCTCACTCCGCTCGGGTTCGTCCTAAGTTAGGTTTCAACGTTTAGTAAAGATTTCTCAGAGATGAGATATTTTCCCGCAATAAAAATTATCCTATATGTTGACCCGGCTAGACTGATTTTGACGGGACTTTTTATTATTATATTATAACAGGATATTAGGACTATTATAACAGGAGCTGATGTTATAGGGAGTAACTTAGGCTATTTTTATTTAAGAAAAAGAAGGTTCAAGTCAAAAAAAAACCGTGCCTAGGGAGACACCCGAGCGAAGCAAGGATAAGTGGCTAGTACAAATATAAATAACACACATTATTTCTCAATTATTGTCACACGTTCGACCTTGGCAGGTCATATACTTTGAACTACAGTCATCTAAAACATTCTAAACCACGTTTTCCAAATATCATTAACATATAAACTGCTACTCCAGCCATTCTAATATAAAATGGCGTATAAATAAAATGATTATTATTCAGAATGAACACGACATTTAATTATTTTATTATACATCAATATCTACCAGTGATGAAGCTCTAGTGATTTCTTCAAATATGACAATATCTATAATCGCTTAATATACCAGGACAAAAAGTCTTATAGAATATCTCTTGCTTTCCACATCTATGTGAATGAAGGATTATTATTTTGCATGCGACTTACCATTATTCTTCCTAATTTATCCAGTTTATATATTTGTCTGGATTTATATAGAAACCCACATTACAGGGATTTCATGCTATATATTGTATATACTCAGCTGCAAAATAATATTTAGGAATTTGGTCTGTATTTGTTTGTATATATTTTTCTAATGTTTATATGTATAGCTTTATATACATATTTTGCTCGTGCAGAAATCAAACTGACGACTTGCAGTGAAAAAACCGTTTTTTGTGTACCGACACTTTTGCTCTAAAATTTATAGCTATACTTAAAATTATAAGCCAATGGAAAACCATAAAATTAATCATCAGAGTAACATTTAATGTAGGAAGTTAATTTCTTACAATTTATTATACACAGTGCAGACCAGTTCACACGATGTCTGGTTTCCTGGAAATGTGCTAACTGCTTCATTTATGTACCTCAATCTACCGAGCTTTATGTAATCCAACATAATAAAATATCCACGTAAAGTAGTTTAAGGAGTTAGACCGACAGCTGTAATAGATAGTTATAAGCCCCACTATCCCTGATAACCCCAATCTTACGGTATTCGAGGTTTTTATAGATTTCGGACTCCATATATGATAAAACCAATGATAAGGCCTTTGTTACCTTTGTAATATAGAGAATAGAAACACACTGACAATATACGAGGCGTCCAGACGCTGAACACGCATCTTGAGGTATTTTGGTTATTCATTTATGATATTAGATTTAATTTGTTTAGCAAAAAAGACAAAATTCAAAGAGGAGAATTACAAAAATGTTATCTTGTAAGATCTCATCCCTCAACTTGTATAAAATGAAAAAAAAAATACGTTTGTTAAAGAGAATTATTATAATTATTGCATATAATAAATATCTTTTTAGTGATATCGAATAAAATAATTTTATATGTACATGTATTTTATAAGAAATTATTTAATTTATTTTTCTGATTAAAAAAGTAATAAATTGCTATCACTTTACAGTTTACATATAAATATTTATAATGAGTTATAAATTATAATCTGTAGGAATGTAATCCTGGTATAACCCACCGCAGTCACGTATGACAAGAATACGATATGGTATGACATTGGTACGTGCCCGACATCTAGACCAGAGCTTTTGTACTGAAGGCAAAATTAAGACGTTGAAAATATATAATTTAATATGTACAAATGCAATACGAAATGTAAATTATAAGCATTGTTGGATTTATATTTTTATACTTATTATGTGTATGTTAAACAAAAAAATTAAAAAGATTTAAATTTCTTAGCCATAAAACTTCTCTCTTCGTTTTACCAGATTATTCGTTAAAAAATCATTTATTTATAATTTTACTAGCGACTCACCCTTGCGTTGCTAGCTTCCGTCCCTAGGTGATTCTTTAAATTGATTTAACTTTTTTATTTATGAACCGATTAAAAGAAAGCAAATACTAAATGTTAAATGAAGCTTACCACAACAAATAAGTTAGAACCGCACCCAAATCGATTAAGCCTTTTCTGAGATTAGCGCCCATAAACGCACAGACAAATAGATAAACAGACAAAAATCTAAAAATCATTGTTTTGGGTTATTTGGGTTGCGTTAATAAAGACAAGCGTAAATAAGACTTCTATGTACAGACAGCGATTAGTTACACTTTTATTATATATAGATACTTTATGTTTAGAATATAAATTATTACTTTACAAAATGAATAAAAACATTTTTGCCTAATTGTTTTTTGATAAAATGTTAATGCTAATAAAAATTGTAGATGCTTTATTTTTTTGTTTATAAATTGAAAAGAAATTCATACATGATTAATATTTATGTAACAGAATATTCATATTTTATAAATTATATACACGTTTATATAAAACTGGAGACGACTTTACGATTTGGCAAACCTGATATTTGAGAAACTAGAAATGTAGACCTTTGCTAGTCTATGAAATTAAAGTTAAGTTTTTTTTTAATATATTATAATGATATTGTAAATCTGTTAAGTCATTCAGTTATTTGCAATTTTAAATCAACGCTTCATAAGTGTATATTGTGATTTATAACGACTGGTTTTGCATTATATATGTATCTATGTATTTACTTAGACTAAATAATAAAGCTATAGCCTGAGTATATTTAGATTTACATATCAGTGATACTTGATTAGGTTTTAATTGTTTTTAGGCGGAACCCAAATTCTTTTTCTAAAATAAAAGTAGCCTAAGTTACCCCTTATAACATCAGCTATCTGCCAGTGAAAGTCCACAGCCGTTTCGGAGAATAGCCGGAACAAACAGACAGATAGACCGACAAACAGAAAGACAGACAAAAATTTGAAACGCTGTTTTTTTTTTTGTAGGTAGCGTATATAATTTCAAATTAATATTTAGTGAAAAGCACATTACAAACGGACACTTCAATTTTATTTATCTGTATAGATGTAGTATTTTTCTCCGTTTCACCTTAAACTTTGAACTTTCACATTCTTTATACATACATATGTATTTAGTCTTTTTTTATTTAAAAAGTTTTATGTAATCGATTTTTTCAATCCTACATTTTCAATCCTAGGCGTTAAATAAATAAATTTAAAAAAAATATATATTTATGAACCTAATTTTAATACTAAATTATGTAAACTGAGAGAACCACAAACACGACATTTGAATTAAATATTCACTTTTTTTAATTCTTATAGCAACGATTATAATATTGTGTTAACTTATGCGCCAACTGTTTTTTTTATGTTTATTTATATTAGTTTCAGCCGGTTTTAATATAATATTATATATCTATGTACATACATAATATATACCTACCTGATAGTGACTTACATCCCTAAGTGTTGTAGCCTATGGATAGGCTCCAGGATCGTTACTCGAAGTCGAAGTTATCTGTATATTAAATATCATGTAAATCGATCCAGCCGTTTTAGCAATAAGTAACAAACATACACACATACAAACTTTCGCATTTATGATAGTAGTCCAGTGATCTTTTTTCGGCATCGTCTTAAAATGAAGTACTTACATCCAGGGTCGATTTTTCCAAGTATAATTTTAGTACTTCATGCTTCACTTCAAACAATATAAACATATGTACAATAAGTCAAACAATAGACCCACAAGTAGACTAAGGTCGATTGCGACGCGCACAATCAACGGGAAAATTCAAAATATTCTCAGGCAGCATATGCGTGTAAAGATAAAAAAAAATATTTTTTTGTATCATTTGCTATTCTTATAAAAGAGTATAACCACACGAAGAATAAAAAAAACATGTGTGTGTACCTACTATGTTACTTATGTACGCACGTTAAGAAGTTATACTTATTTGGCGTAACAGAACAAAAATAGCTAAAGATTTCATTCCAACATATGTATACGTATGTATGTCACAACTCTCTGTTTATAAAAGGAATGCAGCTAAATTCATCATGTCACTTTTTGGCTGTCAGTGTGCGCGTGCATCGTAAAAATTTTACTCTCATATTTTTTCCCAAACGTGCTAAAAGTGGCAAAGAAAACTGTTATTATGTTTTACGCTATTTTCTTGCCTACTAGATGCGCTAGAGTTTAAATTTATAAAAAAAATAAGACACTTCTTTCAATACAAAAATAGCAAAAGCGGCACAACTCATCATATAATAATGTTTTATCATAAGAGGCAAATGATACCTATAGGGAATGATGTGGTAATTTATAATTTTCGCTTTAAAATTTATGATAATTTTAAACTAATTAATTCATTTTAATTAACAGGAAGGATCGATTGGCCACGACCTGGTGATAAGGCCCATCCCCGACTCTATGACGGCGCAAGACGACGAAATGTTCATGGATCCCAGAACTATGAGCGACATGGTCTCAATAGACACTGGGCTGCCTATTGGTAACTATTGTTTCAACTTTTTACTTCTTACACAAACAATAATAAATACATTGATACATAAAAACATATATACACACTAGCATTACCCGCGGCTCCGCCAGCGTTCAGATAACCAAAAACAAAAGTTCTTAGGTGTTAATATTAGTATACTTACTCTTACATTGCAGTTTTTGTATTTTTTCTCTGAAATGAGACATTTGCCGCCCGCGGTAAAAAGTATCCTATATGTTGACCTGGATAACCAACTATCACCATACCAAATTTCATCAAAATCCACCCAGTGGTTTTTCTGTGATGCGGTAACAGACGACAGACAGATAAACAAAAATTCTAAAAACTATAGATTCGGCCTCTTTATCGATAATAATGTCTATTTCAATCAGATTTCCCAAAAAATATTTAATGTACAGATTCGGCTTAGTTACAATTTTATTATATGTGTAGATTTCCTAACAAATATCTGTTTAAAAAGTGGCGTCGAACCAAAGATTATATTCAAAAATCGGAAGACTAATTGTCTAAACACAAATTCGAACTTACGCACATAAAGTACTTTTTAAAATGAAACAACGTGCGGTTTAATTTTGTCACCCGAAAAGCAATGAACAAAAGAGATTTTAAGGACACTTGGGACGTTAATTATCTTGAGTATATCCATAAATATAAATAATAAATAAATATGTCAGGACATTAACAGAACACCATCTAGTTCCATGGTAAGCTTGTGTTATGGATACCAGATAGTTGATACATTATACATATATATAACTTTTAAATACATACATATTATAAATATAAACACCCATGACTGGAGTACAAATATTCGTGCTCATCACACAAATGAATGCCCCCAGCGGGACTCGAACCCGCGACCGCTGGCGCAGCAAGTAGGGTCACTACAAACTGAGCCAAACGTGTCGTCAAAATCAAATCAATGAACAAATGTAAAGAATAGATATTACTATTGAACTAATAAATATTTAACGAAAAACAAAATATAACTGAAAATTTGCTAAATGTAAAAACAGCGTTGTTACTGACAAATTATGATAACTATTAAATATCAACACATAATTTTCAATTAAAAATGTGTAAGCCAAATTGTTACAAAAACACATTTAATGTTATGTGCAATTATAATTTAATCTCTTTTAACATTTATTAATTTATGTTTGAGAAACTTGTCTTTGATTGACTATTATTATTGCTTGTCTTCCGCGAACACGAAAAGTCTGTTTTAATTATATAACAATTATTATTTAAGTTATAAAACAAAGATTTTTGAATTTTTGAAATCATTTTTGTAAAATTGTGGGTAGGCACTATCTGTAAACAAGTATATAACGCCTTTGAGACGTCTATAACCTTAGTCTCTCCCGTAACTATGATTGCTGTAAAGCATTCGAAACGTCGGAAACCAAAAATAAAAATAAATCCGCGAAATAATCCAAAAAGATAGTTTTATTTAAAATGTCTAATATTCGAGTAAATCTAAGAAAGTATTTATAACACAAAGATTGAAGTTTGTAATCGTAATTAAATTTCTGGTAGGTATAAGTAATAAATTCTAATTAAATTTCTAATACACAATCTGTTATTTCCTCTTAATTTTTTAACGTGACTTATTGCTATATTTTATTTACTTCCTATGTCTGTGACAAAAATTAAAATAGCAGTAGTAGCCTAGCGGCAACGTGCCCGCTTGGGAAACCGAGTGAAGCTGGTGCAAATCTTAGATCTCGCACCTCTGATATTTACATGTGTGAATCATTTTCAACATGATTATCACTTGTCTTAACGGTGAAGGAAAACATCGTGAGGAAACCTGCATGTCTGAGAGAACCTAGCAAGTTTTCGAAAAACATGTGAAGTCCGCCAACTCACACTTGGCCAGCGTGGGTGACTATGGCCGGATCCCCCTCATATTAAAAGAAGGCCCGTGCCCAGCAGTGAGACGTTAAAAGTGGCTGAATACATACATGTTTGTGACAAAGGTAGCAATTTCTACCTTACTTACTTACCTTACCTAGTATGAAGATATATAGCCTATAGCCTCCCTAGAGAAACGGGCCATTTAATGCAAAATGAATTTTTCAAATCGGATTTGTAGTTCACGAGCTTAGCGCGTTCAAACAAACAAAGAAACTCTGCCCCTTTTAATAGTATTAGTAAAGATAGATAATTAGGCAGTGACATTTACTCTTTCTATATTCTACGAAAAGATCTGTAACAGTAATAAGTGAAAGAGTTTGAATATGAAATCAGTAATTTAATAATTTCCATTACAGTAAAAAGGAGAAAAATTCAACAAGAACAAATACAAGAGGCGCTGAGAGGCGCCGGGCATGTTATCATTAAGCGAGATCCAGCAGAAAGCGACCATCTAAGTGATTACGGTAAGATATTCAACACTTTCTTTAAAATCATTTTTCTACGTAAAATCTAAAAAAAAAAAAATAATAAATAAAGAAGAAGAATTAAATAAAAAAGGAATGAAGAATGTGAAAGCTGATTATGTATTTAAAAAATTTACCTATTTAACCCCCTCTTAGATTTATTCCTTTATGTACATACATATAGAGATGATATTTAAAAATAGAAGATATTTATATGATATGTTTAACACCTAAAAAGTAAAATTGCAGTTATAATGGATTAAAATCAATATAAAGGATCCTACTTTTGGTTCTAATAATTACGTATCCATAATAGTGTAGATTATATACTCGGACTAAGGAATAAAATATACGGAGTATCATAGAACTAAACATGAATTATCAAGCAAAAATGTCAGTATTAGTAGAGTTACCATGTGTTGAAATAATCTACCGAAAAAAAAACATCTTTATATCACTTTTTTATAATCTTTGAATTCACTATTTATTTTCTTACAATTTGCTTTATAAAAAATAATTATAAAGATAATTATTTTTACCTACGAAAATTTAAATGAATAACCAAACATGTTCGTAAAGTATTTTAAAACAGCATAAACTTATTATACAATAGTCTTTACTTTGATATGTAAATAAATGTTAATAAATAAAAATAGCTAATGAATCTTGTTGTAATAAAGAAGAATAAGAAAAAAAAATATTACACTATCTTTTTTAAGGGAAAGGAGGTATAACTAATGATTTCAATACAAGAAGAATATTATTTTTATTGTATATTAACAATTCAAAAAGTTTCCCTTATTCTCTGGAGAAAAGTTAACAATCTATATGGCAACATCGAAAATAGTAGCATAAACAGCAAAATTATCCTACTGTTTTTGACTTCGTCCATGTTTTTGTCTGAGTTTATATATTAAAGTAAAAAGATATTTACTTTAATATTGTATAATTTTATTTTAAATCAGTTACCAGCCGGCAACACGAAATATTCCAGCACAGATAATGGTAAATTCAAAGTTTTAATGAATGCATGCTCATATTAGTATACAAAAATCAGGATATTTAAGCTTAACATTATTGGCAATAAATTTCGTAAATTAACATTATATGGCGCCTGCATTCTATAGATTATGAATGATGTTTTTCTTTTTTTTTAAATATATAGTTTTATATTTATGACCATACGCTTTAGCCAAATACTTTAAATTCATATTTTTATTTTAGGTAATATATATTATTTTGTTTCTTAAAAAAGTGAAGATTTTTATCTTCTTGCAATTTCTGCCCTATCCAATGTACTAATCTAAAACTCATATATTATATTTTAATTAATTTAATTATATTAAGAAGTTGTTGAAAAATAAATATTTAGGATTCCGTACCCGAAGGTAGCCAATTGAACCCTATTACTTAGCCTCCGCTGTCCGTCCGTCCCGTCTTTCAAAGGGCTTTATCTCATGAACTATAATAGGTAGAGTTGAAAATTTCACAGATTGTGAATTTTTATTGCCGCTTTAACAACAAATAATAAAAAACCAAGATGGCGAATTTCAAAAAGGCTGCCATGCAAATTAAAAAAAAATCTATTCCGGTACGGAACTTTCGTATGTTAATTCGCATCTTTTTTATTTAGATATTATTTAAAGACTAGACGAAAGAAAATAAGCATGGAAATGTTTTTTTTTAAACATACCTACTTCTTTTTAGACATAACTATAATTATAGCGTGTATTTACTATAAATTAAACACATTGTTGATATATAATTATGATATTATTGGTTATTTCATTAGATAGGTATCATATTTACTAAAATATTTTTAAATAATAATGATGTTAAAAGCTATTATTGAATGTTTAATTTATGGAAAGTGCTGAATACACGTTAGCTAATGTTGTTCTTGTTTTATTAAATAAACAATATAATTTCAAGTTAAAATTCGATCTCTTAATAAAAAAACCTGACTTCCAGGCACTAAAAAGTATCGATTAGTAATCGATACTTTATATAGTATTAATTTATATAGTACTAATCGATTTGTGGACTCCGCCGTAGTGTTAGGTACTGGGACAAACGAACCTGCTTGTGTTCACATTTACGTATCTAATAATAATAAAAAAGAAAACAATTATAGTTTTCAAGACTAAAACAAGGCTAGGTAGGGGCTCGTAAAAACAACCCAATGCCCACCTTGATGGTATTTAATTATAATAATGCCATCTGTACAAATAGAAAGTTTGAAATTGCTAAGTTAAAAAAATCGATTTTTCTCCAAATATGTTTACATAATATATATATTACATGCAAATCTCAGTTGCTATGTCACGTAACGTTTTGCTAAAGCTTTTGAGATCCCCATACAAACTTTCATCCCCATTTTCACTCCCTTAATGGATAATCTCCGGGATAGGAACTATCTTATGTTCTTTCTAGGGTCTCAAACTATCTTCTTACTAAATTTCATCTAAATCGGTCCAGTAGTTTCGGAGCTTATTCGGTACAAACAAACAAACCAAAAAATCTTTCCTCTTTATAATATTAGTATAGATTAATGACTATAAAAAGATTTTGTCAGTCAGTTACTCTAAGCAAGCCCAGAATAAAATTAGAGGATTTCAGTTTGGTTTTTAAAACCTGCAATATGTTTTTTTGGAGATACTGGACGAAACAAAAGAAGCTAAATACTGCTTTAAATGTCTTAACACGTGCTATAGTTAGTTCATTAATAAAACTGAATTGGTTTTCCCCACCTGAGTATTCTCGAATAAAAGATTAGGTAATTAATGATATTTTAATACTATGCATACATTATGTGGGTGACGTAACGCCCGCCGTAACCTTACGACCTCTCAGACACCGGCCACAAAAGATTACGTTTCATACATTTTTATTAGCAATTTTTATCTAATCATGACACACTAGAATACATCACATATCGATTAAAACGTAAGCGTTATTTCTGTCATCGATTTTTTTTACACTTCCTTCTTAGATATATTAATTATTTATTGTAAATATACAGAATAAATGAATAAGGCATCATATTTAATATTAGCATATGAGCGAAATAAATACTAGAATATAACTAGGTATAAATTGAAAATAAACACGTACCTAGTCTGTATGAGACTCTATATAATATAAAAAAATAATAAGCTATTGTAAAAATATAAAGATTACAAATAACATATATAGATCATACTTTTTAGTATACATATATATTAATAATAAAATTTTAATATTTACGCGCGGCTTGAAAAATATACGAAATAGACAGATAGACGTCGTCTTTTTAACAAAACTAGTAACTCTGTGGTTAATACCTATTTCGGTGGATGACATTAGCGTAAAACCAGTTCAATCGCCATTTTGAATAATTTTCAATTTCCTTAACTTCTTTTCCTACAATCTTCGCAATTATTTTATTAATAAACATATAATATTTAAATTTAATTTAGAACGTAAATAATAATATGATGTCCTGCCGACCGATTTCGTCCACAGCGGTCAATCTCATTGAGACTGCGCCTGCGCAGGAGATAGTATAGTGCACAAGTATGCGTGCAGATACTTATGCACTCCCTATTCCTGTCACTTTCATACTCCGGTTGGACGACTACTCGACACGACCAGTGAGAGTTAAGGCGCAGGACCGACGGCTTTACGTGCCCTCCGAGGCAAGGGGATGACACACCGCCAACTTTCCAACTCCGGGCTTTTACTTAGGCTTACTAAACAGAAAGACTCAATAACTAAACTTGGCGCGATCGGACTCGAATCTAGGACCTCTGAATGTGTAGCCGTACATGCTAGCCACTGCGCCACCGAGGCAGTTTAGAACATTAAGGCGCTACCCTGACCAAATAACCTTGAGCATTCGTTCCCTCTTTGCAGCACCTCACCTCTATAATACTTCGTAAAGCAGTACTAGCGCCATCTAGCGATCACCTTCCGAATACAAGTAAAAATCGCAGACCTAAGAATTCACAGACATGGCATTATGGCATTCAATAAAAATATCTTTTTATGAAATGTTTATTGGTGCGCCAAAATAATTTTGATCATGATGAATCTAGTGACTATACTTACGTTCATGAATACTTCTAACATTTATTCATTTAAAAGTATTAAAGGTATTCTATAATAAAGATTGTGCGGTGTTTATTTTTTAGATTAAAGGTTTATTTGTAATTCAGACCGTGGGTGATTGATAAAAGCAGAAAAATTAAATAACCAAGTCAATTTTATCATCATTTATTATTTTTTAGTAGGTTTTTTAACAGGTATTGCTAGCAGTGTCAAATAAAATATTCTAGAGAAACTCTGCAGACGTGATATTGACCACTAGTGCTGTTGTTAATAAATTGAGATTTTTTTTATCGTTACCCATCACGTCTATGAAGTTTATACAAAAAAAAATTAGGTTTTAGTCTGAAACATCATTAACTGTGGTCAATGACCTCACAAAAAATCATCTAATTATGTTATGGTTCATTTTAGCTTGTTTATACAACGTGTAAGTAAGGGTATAGTCATATGAAAGTGTGTGCTGGAGACAATCTAACTGAGAACTTTATCGATGGGAACACCATCATAATCGAAAAAAATTATCAACGGCCCCATTCAAAAAGTATGTATAAGAAAGCTGATATTTTTTTACGATGACTATACGCTTTTTGTTACACGTTGTTTAACGATACTCATCATATTCGATCATCGATATTAATTTCTATACATTCTGTATACTGTTTCGAGTTTACATTTCATAAAAATCTAAATGAAATGAAATGAATAAAAAAATGAGCGAACAAGTGCACGAGTGCCGACGCGGCGCGATGACGAACGACACGTGTTTCACCCTCGAGACCTTGTGGCACACTAACTCTGCGCAAGAGTTACGTAGCGAGTACGCTTAGATTTTAGAATAAAATCTTTATAAAATCAATTTTTTGTGTTTTGAAAAAAATAAAACTACCAAAATGTTCTCTATTTAATTACCTATCCATTAGTTAAGGAAGCAAATCAAAATAATGGTTAATTTAGGAGGAGATGCATGTTATAAATAATTATTTCTCATTTCTGTGGTTTTTTTGTGGCCCTTTAATTAAATGTTATGCTGCTTAAAAAAAAAAAAAACTACCATTTTGGAGTCAAGATTATGTAGAAATTTAATGTATTTTTTATTAGTTGTTATTTCTTTTAGATAAAGAGAAGTTGGCTCCCAAAAACATCCTAAAAACGGCTAACGCTGCGTTTCGCACGGGAACGCGCCTTAACTAAATCACTAAAAAGTTAACTTTGAAAACTGGATTACGTTAAATGTAGAAGTTAATATAAGAAATTATAATAAGGACGCCTATTACAACAATGTAACGTATAAACTTATAATAATACAAATATTGTGTTTCTTCTTTACGTTATTAGTTATTACTTATATCTATGTAAACAACTCTTTACTGGACAGATGGGAAACATGCATTTAAATGGAATTAATGTAATATATAAATGCAATGCAGAAATTGTCTTATTAGTTTTGATTTACCTGTGATGTGTGATGATTTTCGTGGTTATTTTACATATTATGCATTTATAGAAATAAAGTTTCTCGAGTAAACTAAAAAAAATAAACACACTATATGAAAATGTCATATACTTGCTCCCATACTTTTTTGTTCTGTGAATCTGGACGACATTCTATTGCGGATTTTGTCCCTCGTGAATGGTGATACATACAGCCTATCACGTCTTACAAGCGTTTGAAGTTTGAACCAAATACAATTTAAAGGTTGGCACAATCTCGCAGTGGTCACGAATTATGCGCTTTTAGTTACCCTTAGGTAATACAGATATCAAAGGTCGCTTTAGTGTATTTACATCGGTATAGTTGTTTTTATTTGTATTTTGTTACATAAAAATAAAAGAAGATACTCGTATAATAAACAAATTTGTCAGAGCAAAATATAAAAACCAATAAAAACTTTGAAGTTATTAAACACTAAATGAATAACATATACCTATATTATCTAATAAAATTTTATTTATAAAACCAAATATCTAAACTCTAGGTAGTCTAATAAATTTAATAACTTACCAAATTAATAAACAACGGCACCAAAAAAAATAAAAATAATGACTATAAATCTTTGTAAATAAATAAAAGATATTTGCCACAAACCGTATTTAATTTCAACCAGTTTGACATTAAAAGTTTGCATCAATATGTCGGGAACTAATTATAATTTATAAAAAATATATAAGCCATATAAAGTGTTAGGTACAATTAATATACTTTTTTGAAAATGCATGCATAATTTTTATGACAATTTGCATTTATAGGCTCTACGCATACTTAATTAATAAACGTACAGATAATTTTAAGAAACAAACATTATTCTTTAGCATCTACAAAATCTGTCATGTCGCCTTTTTGTTTATTTTTTTTTCTAAGGATCGTTACAGCCACGGAAGATTATCTCTCTTCCGTGTTTACAGTAAATTCATAATTAATTTGGCACAGATAATTCTGAGACTAAAAGAGTATTTAAGATCGAAGAAGCACGTAGAAGAATAAAAACATGAATCCAACCGAAACGTGTTGTGTTTGAGATTTTTACCGATTAAATGCCATTTAGTGTCACTTTTAACATTTACTGATGACTTTATACCTTTTTTCGCCCTGCATTAAACATAGTTACTTTTGTTTATACACTGAGGACTTAGCGAGGTCAACTACTATCTTCTGTGCGATATCGTATTCTTTTGGACTGAGATTTAATATCATTCACGAGCATTACCCAAAATCATTATTGTACAAGTTTTGGCCAAAAGTGGAGCAGAACAATGTCGTTTGTTACCACAAACTCGAGATCCTCTATGTTCTCCGTGCTTACTCATGTATACTAATATTATGAAGAGGTAAATTTTGTGAGGTTGTAGGGGGTAAACTCTGGATCTACTGAACTGATTTAGATGAAATTTGGTTAGAAGATAGTTTTAGTCCCCGTGAAGGTGAAAATGGGGATGAAAGTATTCATTGGGAAAGTGGGAACCAAGCGAGGGACGAACCCGAGCGAAGCGAGGGTTAGTCGCTAATCATTTATATTTGTAGAGAAATGTCCAAACTTATTCTTATTATATTATTTTCTGATCTAATCACTCGGACTTGGCCAGCGCGGTGGATTATGTCCTGAATCCCCCTCGCTTTGAAGGGAGGCCTGTGCTCAGCAGTGATCCATTAAAAAGGGCTGAATACAATGAATAGATAGTTTGCTACATATTTTTTTATGTCGCGATTTCAAGTTTTAAACATAAGATTGGTCGTTTGATTTTTCAATAATCTATTTTGTAGACTTAATAATAGTTTAAATGTTCAATTTTAGAGAATTAATAGCGAAATTAAGAATTCTTTGAGTTATAAATTATAATCTAAATGTCATAAAATACATCATTTACATAGGTACAGATGATCTATAACTTACACAACACCTGAACTATTTATGAGTTTGTATACCTCAAGACGTATCTGAATTTTGTATAACGAGGCTCATAAAGCGAATTAATTCATCATTAAGCGTTTGATCGTACCTATACCTACTAAAGCGGAACGATATACCGCTTAATTTAAAATAACCATCTTATGTACTCGTATAATTTTAATTTTTGTTTATTATATTTGTCAGGGGTGTCCAAGCGTAGTATAGAAGTAGAATAGACGTTAATACAGCAATAATATAAATTATGGTAGTACTCTCGTCGAGCACTACTCGTAAGAATATCTACTATTAAGCTTTTTCTCCTTACTGTAAGTGTGGAAGATTTTTTAACATACTACTTATTTTTGTGATTCGCTTTTTATTTTTTATTTTTTTTAATTAAGGTCTCTTGATTTCAAAAACTCTCGTTTCACTCCTAAGGATGTATGTCGAATAATTAGATACTTTAAAAGTGATTTTGAAGTAATAATTCAAAGTGTATACTTTTTTTAACTTTGTCCTAAAGTGGTTTCATATTAATGGTGAAAGAAAATGGCAGTGGTGGAAGAATATTATGCATTAAAGTCGTTGTTTAAAAAAGTACATAATATGTACATATGTACTTTACGGATGTACTCGTTCAATAAGTACTTACGCTGTACGAGTAACAAAACTCCGAATTGTACATATTATCAAGGTTACCCGTGTTCTACCTACTACTTTTATTTTTATTAACAGTGTAAATCGAAATCGTATGAAAAATCAAAAAAAAATATCATTAAAACGTATAAAATAACTATTTTGTTTCAGCCTTCATGGAACCAGACCACATAGGCAAGAGGTTCAGGCGGAAAAGATCGACAGATTCACACAGCAGACGAAAACGGGAGGCACCATATGTGATATACCCTGAAATCCTTGTCATTGTAGATTACGATGGTTATAGGTATGTTAATCTTTTATTTTTACTTTGGTATATTTTGCTTATAAAAATAAAGATATATTATTATTGATACATAAAGTAAATTTGAATCAAATGCTGTCAAAATTAAAATCTGTTTTTGGTTTTTAAGTTCTAAGTTACTAATAATGTGTTCATTTTTATATCTATTCATTTTAAAATAAAAAAAAATATATGCCTAATAATGTTTTTTTTTGACAGATTGCATGGAGGTGATAATTTGCAAATTAAAAGGTACTTCGTATCTTTCTGGAATGGTGTAGATCTAAGGTATAAACTTTTGAAAGGACCCAGAATAAGGATATCTATTGCCGGAATTATTATATCTCGGGTATGTTATTTTCTAGTTAATTTTTTTTGCCTTTATAGCATTGAGTAAATAATAATGAGATTTAATCGCTAAGATATTTTAATTGATTTGTTGGAAAAGATAATTTTGGTTTATTATAAATTTTAATTTTATTTTATAACAAAAAAATGCGGACCTCTTTGTTTCTTATTAAAACCTACGAATTATTCATGACTTATTTTTTTAATCTGTACATAATGACGAATTTGCGTGATGCAGACATCTTTATTTGCGCAAAATATTTTTATGGTCTATAAAGTTTGGAAACCAATCAAATATTTAAAATATTCCTAAATTAATAATTTAAATTCGATTTATACGATTTTTATTTATTTACGATTAAATAACAAATCCATAATTTAAACTATTGTTTTATTCTTTTGACGCAAGCTTAAAATTAACCATTTCGTCGGTCTCTATACAATATTCTTCTAGAAAGTTTTTTTTCGATTTTGGATAACCTTCTAAAACCGCCTCGAGCATATCCGAACATATTCTCTTGCGCTTTCTGAAAAATATAATAGTGATAATTTATTAAAATTAATATGATATTTATGTCACAATATCAATGGAGTCGGCCCACCTGTATTCATTATATACATTTTCGTGTTTATTTAAAATAAGTTTTTTATCATTAACACTAATAACTTCGGTAGTATTATTGAGATCAAGCAGCTTGTTTTCTAGTTTGTCAATTTTATTTTTTAATTCGTCAATCAGTAATCGTGTAGAGTCGTTAGTAGGTGCGGATGTGAGGTTTTTAAGATTAGTCTCGGCTATTTTTAACTCAGATTTTTTTTCGCTTAAACTATTTGTTAGACTTCCTATTTTAGCATCGTAATCTGCAAAAAACACACACTGTATTTAACGCCGAATTTGTATCTACAACTAAGATATTTGCAAGAAAGAGTTCTTAATACATACTTAATGTTACGTTATGTTTTTCTAAAATGATTACATTTATAAAATTGATATATAATTTATAAACTCATATTTATTCAATTATTATTGATATAACAATTGAATAAATATGAGTTTAATCTTATATGAACACTAGCTATAATGCCAATAGGGAATATACATATGCCAGAATCATTATGGCTTATACATTTTAATAAAAAACAAAATAAAACCACTCACCTTCATTATCAGTAGTCTCTTCTACGTCATCTGTTTGGAGAGCAGCATATACTTTTTGTTTACCATACAATTTACATCGTATTTTGCCCGATTCACTCAAAGCATCTAGAGCTTTTTGAATAGCATTTTTCGTGTAAGTACCTCTTAAATTCACTGTTATATCAGCACATGAATAAGGTCTATTTGTATCATTTAAATACTTAAAAACGGCATCACTAGCCATTTTTTAAAATAATAATAACAAAAATATTATATGAAATAACTGTCTATGTTAGACCAACTGAAATTGGCGCGCACCTTTATTTTTTTATTTTTTTGTGTTCAAAATATACCTAAGGGGTAAAGTGTATTCAGCCAACGAAGAATTACAAAATAAATAAATTTTAAATATTTATATTATGATATACTTAATATTAAATGAATATTATAAACAAAAATATACATGTAATAATGAATAATATATAAATTTATTTAAATATTAGGCTTAAATAAATAGATTTTCCACTGTACCTATCACTTACGAGTATATTGTAGTTACGTAGTTACTAAATATAATGTCTATGAAATCTATACATATAATAAAATTCTAAATAAGTCGAATCTGTACATTGAATATTTTTTGGAAAATCTTATTGAAATAGACATTATTATCGATTCTGTATCGAATTTATAGTTTTTAGATTTTTTGTCTGTCTGTCTGTCTGTTACCGCATCACAGAAAAACCACTGGAGGGATTTTGATGAAATTTAGTATTGTGATAGCTGGTTATCCGGGTCAACATATAGAATACTTTTTACCGCGGGAAAATGTTTCATTTCTGAAAAAAAAATACAATAACTGCAATGTAAGAGAATACTAATATATAAAACCTAAGAATTTGGTTTTTGGTCATCTGAACGCGGGCGGAGACGCGGGTAATGCACTAGCATATAAAAAGTAACTCTTCCTTTATATTTATGTGGTACTAACCATATAAATATAAAGGGAGAGTACTAACCATATAAATATAAAGCTGTTGTTTTCATTGTCTTAATATCATGAACGAACATTTTGATAAACTAAGATAGATGAAAGAATATTGCTAAAACCAGATTTGGTTGTTAACAAAAAATATAGAATTAATTTGTATAAATTAGCAACACCTGCAACACTACCTACTAATAAGACATGGCGTTGTTTGAACCTTACTTAAATTTGATTTTTACATGTCGAACGATCGCTTTTATTATTTCTTCGTCCATTAAAATGTTTTATTAATAATAAATTATTATACTTTTATGTTTGCCGTAGATCCTAATTAAAATAAATTTATTACTTATTTATTGCAACTAACTAACTTGTTTTGTGTTAGTTCAATATTAGAAGACAAAAATATACAAATTATATCGAAAATGAATTTTTGACCTCGGTCATAGGAGGTCCCAGTAATACAAAGTGCTCAGTACGTAAAAAATATCACTTTTATTTTGTAAGAGATATTTAAAAAATATCTTACCTTATTCTTTAATTATTGTTTTGATAATGTTTTCTAAGTAACCTGACAAATGTTTGATAATTTCAGTTATGTATTTATTCGCTTTACATACTTAGCATATATAAATAATTTTATAGTTAATATACAGCTTATACAATGGTTTTTTTACTGTTAGGACATTATTTTTATTTGGCTTTTTATAATATTCTTGGTCCAACCGATCGAATTCCCAACGTCTTTATTATGGGCTCTATAGTTGCGATTACAAGAAGTTTTCATGTTGGAGCACATTGGTCAGTTGGCATAAATCTCAATAGTTCAAGGTTAGGGCTGTTTAAAGTAAAGATCACGTTTGATATTTACCTTCGAAACGTGAGTCAACTCCCGAACCTAAAATATGTTTGGACGAAAACTACTGATTATAAACCATTTCATCCAATTATGTTAATTGTGCTTGATTTTTGTTTATTATGTATAGTTGATTGGTAGTCGCGGATAATTTGTAAATGTCACCTGTTTGACTACTTTCAATCAAAATGTGAAGATGTAACATCGGTTTGGTTGAATTGTTAAAAATAAAAATATGAAAAAATGGATTCTTGGTAGTCTTATAAAAATATGTGTTTCTTGATGAAACATAAACCTTCATTTTTTCACAAAAATGACAACTTTTGCGTTACTTCAAATAAATACCTACTCTAAACCTTAACCTATAAAGAATTGAGTTGTAATAGAAGTTAAAAGCAGACTTAATGGATGTGCTTAATACTCTTTAAAGGTGACATTTTTCTTCTTTTACTAAAATATATATTGTGAATTAATTTAGAAACTCTGGTTTTTGTGTAAATTGATGTACTGCTGCAAATAGAATGTTTTTATCTAAATCGGATTATGATTATGAGAATCATATGCAAATATTTTTTATAAATGTTTACATAATTTTTCATATTATAAAATACTATTTATATTTTGTAGAATTGGATTAATTCTGATCACATTAAAAAATAAAATCTACCATAGATTTAACATAGCGACCACTAGCTACACTAACTTTGCGATAATATTAAATAAAATAGAATTTATCATTATGTAATTAATTAATAAACTAGCGACTCAACCTCGCTCGGGTTCGTCCGTTTTAACAGTATGGAATAGATAAACAATATATTATATGATATATAACCTATCTATAGCCTTCCTCAATAAACGGGCTATCTAATGCAAAAAGATTTTTTTAAATTGGATTTGCAGTTTCTGAGATGACCGCGTTCAAACAAACAAATACACTCTCCCTCTTTATAATATTATATAGTATAGATTATATAACATATATTTATATTTTCAGGGTCGTGATGCGACACCATATCTAGAAAGAAACCGCGTAGGTCGAGATGCGATCGACTCCGCCGCCGCTCTCACTGACATGGGCAAGTATCTCTTCAGAGAGAGGAGGTTGCCTGTTTATGATATAGCTGTTGCTATAACCAAGTAAGTGAACAATATCTGTTTTAGCTCTATTTATGCTTCATTATTAAAAAAAAATTAGTTTTATTTTTTTAATTAAAATTGAGCTGAAATTAATATTTAATGTTATATTAAAATATGACAATATTTATAGTAGGTAACTCCGATGATGTGTAATTATATGATTACAAAAAAATCTAAATTCGTGTACTGCATTGATAAATAAGTACTTAAACTCAGAATACATGTGTTGAGTTGAAAAAGAACGTGATTGCTGTGCGAAATAGAGAGAAGTACTAGCAAAGATAAAAAATATACAGAAAAATTAAATTATTTATTTAACATATTTACATATTAAGCAGTACAGTAGGTCTTTTAACATCGATATCAATTATATTTAATAGCACACTTAAATCTATTCAACATAGTATCTACTTTAGAAATGGATACATATATCAGTAAAACGGTAAGTATAACCTCTTTAATTAATACTATTTTTAATTTAGCGCCATTATTCGAATAATTTTAAAATATGACAGCTCCTAGAAGCCATTGAACGTGAATTGAATTGAAAATATGACAGTTTATAAATCAAAATTTAACTTTTTTAAATAAAAAATACATATGGGTAAAGTAATAGTTTATTAAGCTGAAGGATAAATGAAGACACGAAAACTAATTTTACCAACAGGTATGACATGTGCCGACGTCGCAAGGGTGGTCGCTGTACTAAAGGCACCGCTGGTAATTTATTTTAAAAGAAACCTCTAAAAGGTTGCAAATGGTGTTGACATACTCAGCATTAACAGGCTTTCGAGCGAAATAATTCGGCTTGATTTAATTTTAATGTTTGCGGTAAAGGATTTGGTAATGGCGCTGAATATTATGTCATAGACAATATCTATGATAATGGTTTCGGTTTCGGGAAAAAAATTGGCTAACGATAGAGAATGCTCGTCGTTTACGTTCGTATGAACGTTAAAACTATAATAATATTCAAGTTACGAAGGAGAATAAAATATATTTTGAAGAATTTTATTTAGATTATTATTTCAATGGATTTCAGACTAGACATGTGCAGAAGACAGTATGCGAACGATGCGTGCAATAGAGGGACTGCAGGTAGGCGTGTGTATATGATTGTTTCCCCAAGCACGCCTTTTGTCATCTACTTAGTCCCTCACCCCTGTACATGAAACTTCACTGGAATCACATTCCTTTGATCCCTTGATCCTGAATTCCGTGATCATAAGCACTTTGTGAATAATCTATCTTCGCATATCTTTCTCTACACCATGTATATAGAATAGAAAACTCTCTGCTATTTAGTTTAGTCATCGCGTACTCTGTCCTATAGACCATTAAACCATAAACCTTAAATCTATTTCTGGAGATCTTCATCTGTATATGAGTCATGCGTGCAACATTACCGATCGGTAATTTTGTAAAGCATGCAATGGTTTTTTGCCCATCAACATAAAACGACCGTAGCATTAAATGTGATGCTTTAATTTATCGCTTCTCATATTTGTGTTCATACTTTATTTCAACACAATGATTGGCTTCTTGCGCCGAACCTTTCAAAAGGCCTCTAGTACATCTTTTCATATTAACAAGAAAGTTGCGTAAGGTCAGAGGACCAGTCGGCCCTACCTTACTTAAATGACACGAGGACATCGTAAAATAAACTAACATGCCTATTACGTATCTACCAAACTCTGCTATTAAAGATGGACATAAATATTCAATTCCACAGATTAAGTCATTTAAGGATATTGCATGTTACATTATCTTTATTTAAGTACAATAGATACCATCTTTTATCCAATCTGGGACAACTAAAGTATAAGTACAATACAATATATGTATGTATGAACCAAGTGCCTAAATTTTTATTTTTACTATATAAGTATTACCAAATGTTTATGATTAAACAGTAAACTAACATCTTAAATTAAGCATGCGCTTCTATTTATTTAACAGCATGGGTTCCCTTAATTTTTTAACATAATTTAAAAAAAAAGCTTTGCATGTGCAATTCTTTCACTTAGTTACAACAACGCCTATGTAAGTACAAACCTTTTCTTACCTACAACCTTCACTATAATTCAGTCATAATAAGATCGTAATCGTTGTAAGTATATATGTATCTTCATTTTCTATCATAGACAATCCATATTTCTTTCTACCTACCCTCGTTACTTTTTTTTAATTAATTTATTATTTTTTTAAAAAGACGAAGGCTAAATACTTTTAAAAATAGGATTCGCGTACGTCGGTGGGGCGTGTGTGGTGAACAAACGATTAGAAAAGGTCAACTCAGTTGCTATTATTGAAGACACTGGTGGTTTTTCTGGTATCATTGTTGCTGCACATGAAGTAGGACATTTGTAAGTAAAATAACTTATTTTATTCTCTCATATTATACATACCTTACATATCCATAACACAAGTCTCGTAGCTTACCATGGAAGTAAATGGTGTTGTGTGTTAATGTCCCAACATATTTATATATGTATTATATATTCACCTTAAAAAATAATAATAAAATATTTTTTTAGATATTTTTAACTATTTTTATTATTTCGAGTTTAGCTATATTTTTCATATTAATACTTCTTGTTGAACTGTAAAATAACTTTGTAGGTTAGGAGCAGTACACGATGGTAGTCCCCCACCCTCTTATCTAGGCGGTCCAGGAGCTGAGAAGTGTAGATGGGAAGACGGATTCATTATGTCAGATTTAAGACACACTGAGAAAGGTTTCCGGTGGTCCCCTTGCAGTGTACAGAGCTTCCACCACTTTTTAAAGTGAGATTCTTCATTTTATTCTATTCTATTTATGAAATAGTAGATTTAGTACAAGTTGAGAAAATTAAAAACTTTTGTAATATCTCGATTATATGTATATCTATCTCATATATTAGAGTAAGTTTAAAAGTCATAAATAAAATACAAAGTGGTTTAAGTCATTTATTTTTGTACTATTATTTTAACTATTTTGTTATTGTCATACAGTGAATATATTAATTATATTATGACAATGTGAAATCTAATCTACAAAGCGTATTTTAAATGCCCCACGTTGGGCGCCATAATTAAAAACTTCTTTTATATTTCCAGTGGTGACACTGCAACGTGTTTATACAATTCACCCCATGAAGACGACTCGTTACCACGAGTGTTGCCCGGAAGGCTACTCACATTAGATGCTCAATGTAGGAAGGATAGAGGAACTAGGTAAGGTTATGTTTCATAGTTGATATGTAGTTACTGATATACGACTATACCAATGTACATAGAAACCTTTGTTTATATCTCGTAAATATACCATCTTTTATGAAATATTTTTAAAACACATGGACTAATTAACGTTTTATTTAATTAATCTATGTTAAGTTTCGGCCTTATAAAGTTGTTAATACGTCATTTCCAATATATTATATTTTTTGTAGATTTAGTTATTATTAATTAACCTTTCACTTCATGAATTAGACCAGCGAGAAAATTGCCAAATTTTTATTGTTACATATTAAGTAAATATTAATGAATATTTTTCTGCTTTTTGAAATTTAGTACTTACACAGATAGATAAGATAAAGTATAAGCTATACTTAACTTAAGCTTAAACCTTAAATTCTCTTTAATTGAATCGATTATAAAAAAAATACCAAAAGAATATAATACAAACACGAAAACGGAAAGACCCAGAGAGGAGCCGAGCAAAGCAAGAATAGCTGGTCAAGTGATTTGATGTTTTAAAAATAACATCAAGAAAAATAATAAAATCTAAAACCTGTCTTTGAAGATGTTTTTCTTATACTACCTAATTGCTTATTTTTATTTCACCTCTAATATACCTACTACTATAACTACCTCTATAGTCTACACCATTTGTTTACATTTAGCTCTCTGCACTACAGTTTCTATTTTTATTAATATTTATATCATTTTCCAGTGCATGTTTCAAAGACGAGCGGGTGTGCGCGCAACTGTTCTGCTTCGACGCGGCAAGCGGCTACTGCGTGGCGTACCGACCCGCTGCCGAGGGCTCTCCGTGTGGGGACGGACAGGTTTAGCTTTGTTTCTTCTGCATATGTCAATAATACTAATCATAGCGATCTCCTTGAAGTCCATTTCTAATAAAATGATTGATAGGAAACAAAGAGAAAAAAATCGCCATAACCAAATTGTAAAACGCCTACGAATGTGTCTGTTAAAGGGTCACTTTATTATCGCTTTATAAGTTGCCTGATAGAAACTCAATGACTAACGTATAGCGTAATAAATCTTAAACATTTCGGGGCTTTATTTTGTCAAATTTATTGTGCCATATCAAATGAAAGACTGTGACAAATGCAGTACTAATATTAAAAAAATGAAGTAGCTAAAAGAGTTGAGCTTCCTGATCAATTCACAGATCCATCCCTAGCGAGAATCAAACTTCTTACCTTCAATATAATCAATGGTAGCTAAACATATACATATAATATGTTTTATTCACATCACAGTGATTTACATATATACATAAATAGTTAAATATTTATAGTATTTATTCTATTTCATAATAAAACGTAATTGCATTATTTAACCATTAATAATGAACGTCATTGCAGTACTGTATAAACGGGCGGTGTATTACCGAGCACGAAAATATAATACCGGACTATTCACAACACACGCCGAGCTACGTGCGACCTGAAACTAGTCCATTCTACGGTAATATCACGAGGTATGTATCACGATAATATTTGTGTAAACTGGGTAAAAAAATAATAATCAAAAAAATAATTTGTATCCCAATTTAAAGTGTTGACATCGAAAACAACTTATTAACAGAATATTGGTAATAATTGAGTTATTAGGTAATAATTGTCTAATTAGGTAATATTTTTTTAAATTATATACCTAGTTTATTTGCTATATTAAAATCAATCGTAAATTAATTGTGTAAAATATTTACAAATAACATTCATAAATGCATTGGATCATCACAATACTGTCACTAAAACGAGATGGGCACATACTCTCGGGAGTGTCAGTTTGTGTAGAACACAACGAGATGTATTCTAATATATTTTTATAAACACGCACACAGTACTGAAGCAACCACTGAGCCGTACGTGGCTAGTACAGAAGCACCAGAGACTAACAAGCCTAACTATTACTCTTATTACCAAAAGAAAAACGATTACTCAACAACGACGACGACTCAATCCACTATGAATCCATACAAATATTACTACCACACAACAAAACAGACCGAGCTGACGGAAAAATCAACTGAAGCAACACAAAGTACACCAACACCTAAATTCAAATTCTCAACCACAAAAAATCCTTACGATTTCAATGATTTCACAACAAAGTCACCTAAAGTAGAACCGAAACGTGGTTTCCTCAGTAAAGACGAATTGGATAGTTACTTCGGAGGAAGTACGACGAAAAGCCCTTTCTCGGACAAAGGATTCAAATCAGTATTCAAAATTGGAACTTATTACTCTCAAGCGAAGTCTTCAGACAATTCCATTAGACCTGACGCGAATTCTCAGCAAGTTCAAATAGAACCGGCAAGATTACTTTTCTCTTATCAAAGGAACTTGACATCGGGAGAAATTATAAGAACATAGATGTGCCAAATTAATTTATTGGTAAGAAATAATTGGAGCGATGTCATTTCTGTCTTTCGTCTCATGGTCTTCTGCTAAATATCATAAATACTTCACATGCATTCTTTTCAGCCATTTACGTCTGTTCACTACATACTATTGCGAGTTTGGAAAGGCTTGCGATTCCTATCTACATGTTTCCGTGTATATAAACTATTATGTCATAATCATAATTCAAAACATTCTTAATTATCTATGATCTGAACATCAACTTCAAACATTACCCTTGATCAATAAACGTAATTTCTATTGCATTTGGTTATTTATTATATTACTATATCCTTCTACAAATTATCAATTTCTTAGATTAAACAAAATTATTAAAAATTATCAAAAATAACTTTTCATTATATTCATTTCGTGTTAAATTCCCATGGTAATATTTGGTAATCTTATGTTACAGTAGCCGCCACTAGTGAATCGAGCGGGACAAACACTGAAGACTGTTTGCTGGATTAAACCTAGAATATATACTGGGTGAACTCCAGCTTTAATACATTTCAGATTGTGGAACGTGCACAGACCTTTAATAAATATTACTTCTATTACAGATGTATAATTATTTTTTTAATATTCTAATTATTTTATACACTGCATGATTTCAATAAAATAAAGATCTGGTATCATAATCATCTTGTAATAAATGCAATAAAAAAACTAATGGTTTTTATTTTTATGTACATGTTTACAATATTTAAATGTATTTCTTACACAAAAATTTTGAGAAGATTATGATATTAGTCATTATTAATTCTAAATAATATTTAATTTTTGTGTAAATCTGCAATAATTATACAAAGGTAATATTTTATATGCAGCGGGTAATCAAAGGGATGTGTCACGAGTTTGTGTGAATAAGAATGTGTCTAAGAACAATACAGGCACAGTTCTGTGAGTGATATTACAATGTGATTGTGTTAATGAACTATAAGTACATTAGTTTACAAGCAGAAGTCAATCAAAATGAGACCACCCTCTCAATTTGGTTTTGGATACTGTATTTTCTTAGTCTATTTTTTTAAGCGGTTGTATAAATAGTTTTTTTTAAGGTTACAAAAACTGCCACAAGTGCCTTTTTAATTAAGTGTACCTATCTATAACTAGAACTCGATGATCCCATTTTTTTTTGATTTGCACATTTATTTTTTAGACACTTCAAAACATATGCTTTTTTTTGCATCATATAACTTTATAAAAAGTTTTATTAAATTCTTGATTATGGTATATTATGTATATTTTTAATATTGCGACTGGTTCGCATTCTTTAAGCAATATATTTTTATCCTAAGTTACTTTTCTTTATCTTGTTATTAGTATAAGTCTGTTTTTAATATCAAAATTTATTTATGTAATTAAAGACATTAAAAAGTTACCATAGATTATATAGTTTGGCAGTTTAGTTTATAATAGGGGAATACAGTGAACTTCCAAATCTGACATCACTTGCCTTTATACCTATTTATTATATGCCAATTTATTTATATATGAACAATTTGTAGTTTTCTCCTAAATTGTCTAAAGATTAAGAAAAAAATATAAACGAAGAAATTTAAATATCGACTTTTATTTTCATTCCCAACACCAAATTTCATATAAATCATTAAACAAATATACATCAAAAACATAACCCAATACAAAACTATAACATGAAATAAAAAGAATATATGAATAACTAAAACACCTCACTTCAACATTTACTTATAATTATAATATATAATAAAATTAACTGTTTTGTTAAATATGAAACATTCCTTCTCTTTAGGAAAAAAAAGCTTTAAAAATGCTCATGTTGTATTAAAAACTAACCAAAAATGTGAAACTTAAATATGATTACATTATATGTGATGTTTTATGTTATTATTAAATTATACTTGAACTTAACAAAAAACATTTTTTGCATATACATAATAAAACATGCCTTTATAATATATCCAATCAATTAATATAAGTAAAACAAATCATATTTTAACTCTCTTAGGAGTTTTAATAATAATAAATAGCCAATATATTACACAGTGTAATAAAATATTGGCTTCTTTCTTATCACTCCAATGCTAACATTAATTATGGTATAATAGGATAAATAAATAAATTTTGTGTAATCATCTCATAAAGACGGAACATACTGTAGGTTGTTGCTGAATGTTTAAAGAAGTTTGAGCATTTATGTAATACAATAAAATATTGGTTTATTTCACTTCTAACTTAATATATATTTTAATTAGACTTCACTGACATAGGGCTTGCTGTGACATTTTTAGCCAGGAGTTTCGCAAGCATTCCCACGGACAATACAAACATTAGACCAGCCGGCATGAACTTTCGACTATTGTAGTATCTGGAAATTTTTTTTTTAATAAGAACAAAAGATTTTAAAAGAATAGAGAAGTACAAATCAAAAAATATTAAAAATAATCCATCCTAAATTTAATACTTAATTCACAAACAAACAAAATGATATTATTATAAGAAACTAGCGGCTCACCCTCGCTTCGCTCGGGTTCGTCGCTAGGTACGTTTTAAATAGATATAAAAAGAAAAAATCTTTCTTTCTCACATTTTAATTATATGTTTTAATACTTACCTATTCCGGACTAAGAGAAATCCAAAAATTAAAATATCATAAAAATTTGAACGCGGTCGAACGGGATAAAAAGTATCCTATGTCCTTCTCCTGGCTCTAAACTACCTCCCTGCCAATTTTCAGCTAAATCGGTTCAGCCGTTCTTGAGTTATAAGCGAAGTAACTAACACGACTTTCTTTTATATATATAGATGAAGAAATTAATTGATTTATATTGTACTAGCGACTCACCCTCGCTCCGCTCAGGTTTGTCCTTACTTTAAAGTTTAGTATATTTTTGAGATAGAGATGAGACATTTTCTCACAGTAAAAAGTATCCTATATGTTGATCCGGATAACCAGCTAACATCATACCAAATTCCATTAAAATCTGTCTAAATAGATTTGGCCTCTATATCGATAATAATTTCTATTGCAATAAGATTTTCCAAACAATATTTAATTTTATTAATTTGTACAAGATTCAACTGAGTTAGAATTTTATTATATGTATAGATAGATTAAATTATAAAATAAAAAAATAATATTGGGATGCATTTAATACATGTGAAATTAATAAAATTAATGTTATAAATATAATAAATAAACATCTCACCTGTATCCCATAAGACCACCGAGAGAAGTAGTTGTTCCTAACATTAATGTATAATTTGAAGGATCCTGACTTAGTTGGTATGCACCCACACCTGTAAATAGTTTATACATAGTATTTACAAACTTTCAATATTAAAATCATAAATCAAAAATGAATACATAGCAATAAATCTTACCCAAAATTGATCCAAAAATAATTCCTGCTCCTAATGATGGTATGGACCCTATAATTAGATAAAGTTAAATATTATTCTTCTTTTTCAAATACAATGTTTACTAATATACATGTAAAGTTACGTTCCTTTCAATGCATCACTGAAGTGTAAATATTTTTTACTCGTATGAAAATTCTACATATATAAAGTACAAATATATCCTATTGTCCTAGTACATTTCGTCAGCAATATTAATTTTGTTGCTTATTTATACTAAGCATTTTTCTCCTGAATATCAATTAAATTAAAAGTCATAGATTTATAAATTTTATGTAAGATCCTTCTTAATAGAAAATGCAAGATATTTTGACTATTAGTACCACTCATACCTGCACATTTTTACTCCATAAAGATAACAAAAGTAATTCAACTTTTATTAATACTAATCTACAAGCTATGAGCAATGCTAATCTAGTTTAGTTAATACTTTCAATGATTACTTTTCATTCGCGAAGAAATAAGAATATTCGAGAAAATATTGATTTAATATAAACGAAATTGATATACCTACCTCTATCTAGGTGCCTTATCTAAAACCACACAAAATGATATTATTTTAAGAAATGCATACTTATAAGATGAAAATTATCTTTAGTCTTTAATAATTCTAAAGAATGGCTATTGTTTTAAAGTATTATTGTATTAAAAAAAAGACTAGTTTTTGTTAAAAACATTAAGAAATAAAAAAACTACTGTATACCTGCTTTAGCATAGCCCATAATTCCACCAGCGGCTACAGTAGCAGCATATGCGAAACCTAAAATATCAATTCCCATTTTAAGTTATGTTATAAAAAAAATATTATTCACAACACAGTTTTATACTGAAGAAGTAGTAACTTGAAAGAGCAAAATCAAAAATGATTTTATATGACAATTTTGACAATGAGTGACAGAGTAGAAAATTTTGTTTATCGTAGTACCACAGAATAAAATAGCAACTTATTACAGATAACTCAAATAAAACTAGATTTTATGACAGAGAACTACTAATATTCACTCCTAGTTGAAGACATTAATTTAGTCTAGATCTTTTTAAAGTAAAAACATCTTTTCCGATTATTTCGCGGATTTATTCCGATTGTTGATTTCTGACGCTTCGTAAGAAAGTATTAGTCTAGATTTATTTATATATTCAATAATCAGTCAGTCCAGAGAAATATGTTGTCTCTCTTCTTCAGTGGAGTATATTTACTACACCTTGAACTTTAGTTATCTGGGATATGAAAACGAAATATTGCGCCTGTAAATAAAATTCTGCCAACCCGCACTTAGCCAGCGTGGTGGACTATGGCCTGATCCCCCTCGTACTGAAGGAAGGCCCGTGCCCACGTTAAAAATAGCAGAATACTAATAAAATTTGCGTAATTTTATTGATTATTACAATAGTATCAGCATTCAGATGATGGGTTTGTAGTGATAATTCACAGATGGCGCTTTCACTTTTTATGAATGAATATGCACATTGCACACGGTTAAAAATGGTTAAAATCACAGATTTTTTTATTCGAATGCAGTATGAATTTGACAATATTTACCCATACGTTAATTTATTTATAAAATAAAACAGTTCAACTATTTGTGAATCAATGACATCTATTATCTATTCAAGCAAACAAAAATAGCCCGAATTAGCGCTGTCCAATTTTTTTCTATGGGATGAGGCATCTGTACTAGTATATAGTATTACTAGCATTGCCCGCGGCTCCGCCCGCGTTCAGATGACCAAAAATCAAATTCTTTAGTTTTACAGATTCGTATACTCTTACATTGCAGTTTTTGTATTTTTTCTCAGAAATAAGATATTTTCCCGCGGTAAAAAGTATCCTATATGTTGACCCGGATATCCAGCTACCATCATACCAAATTTTATCAAAATCCCTCCAGTGGTTTTTCCGTGATGCGGTAACAGACAGACAGACAGACAGACAGACAGACAGACAGACAAAAATTCTAAAAACTATAGATTTGGCCTCTGTATCGATAATAATGTCTATTGCAATAAGATATTGATTTAGTTAGAAATTATATGTATAGATAATTAAGAGAGACAATTTAGAGTTTTAACGCCAAATTTAAAATTATATCATTTACAGCTATTGGATTTGAAATTAAATAAGTCACATACGTTAAATTACATAGAATTTTGTATATATTATTCATGATTATATTATGTAAAACATTTATAAACATAAGATAAGAAACTCGAACGGTGAACTTAAATTTAATTTAACAAATATAAGCACATGAGCGTATTTATCGCTACATTTGTCTCTCATTTACATTAAAATAAAATAAATATTTCCTCTACCAATAAATACGCAATTAATCACTTAAAATTAAGTTAAAATTTAATTAACTACTAAACTATTTAACACGTGTAAATCGGTCTAAGATGTGATTTTCAGACAAGTGATTTTACTTATTGGAAAAACCGTATAATCTAAGACGTATCTATAAACGTTATAAAAATAATCAGAAGGTATTTTAAAAACGTACTTTAATTAGTAAAATTGACGGATTTAAGATTTTCCGTCACAGTTCGGATACCCGTTGAATTTTACACTCTTTATTTTTTGAGGTTCTGTCAGTTTTACAGTTTAGTCTGACACTTTTGTTTGATAATCTAAACACAAACATTTTTAATAAAAAATCCAGATTCAGATTACAAATTACTAGTAATTCAAGCGAAATAACTGTCAAGGGTTTCAATTTACAATTAATATATTACGCGTCTCTGAATATTATATCTGATAATGTAAATCTACATACCTATTTTAGATATAAAATTTCGTCATGTTTTTGTAAACGTACGTCATCTATAATATAATAAATAATAATACAGCTACAGCATGACTTTTTCTGCACAAGCAAGGCCACTGGAATTTAGTCTATCATCTTTACTGGTAGGGGACGGTCGCAGTTTTTCAATCTACTAAACAAAACTCGTCTAGATTATACTATTTCCTTGAATTACAAAAACTAATCAGTGTCTAAAAATATATTCACAATGTTGAAAACTGCTTCGAAAGTGACCATAAATACTGGGAATGTGTTAAATCTTATTGATATCAAGAAAAAAGCTGGACAAAATGTCACAGAAGAGGTTAGTAATGTTAAGTTTTAATATTTATTTTTAATATTTAGTTTTATTATTTAGTCATATTTATTTGATTTATATGTACTCTTGTAATCCTTTACCTCAACTAAATAGTTTATATACACTAATTTAGAATACTTAGTGTATCTTTAAAACATTAAAAAGTAATGTGTAATCAATTCTTCTTCTCTATAAATAAATCATAATATAAATCAAGCTTAGTAATGGCAAAAGCAAGCTTACTAGATTGGACTTCTATAGTCCATATTGCCATTAAAGCTAGTTACATTATAAAATCATTTTTTCAAAAATTCTTTATCAAACCAAAATGTAAGATAGTAAATGCTTACACAATAAAAATAAAGAAAATTGCAATAAATAATTGAAATAAAAAAGAAAGGCACAGACAAAACATTGTGGTGTGTTTCATGCTCCAAAAACAAGAAATAGCATGTAGCAAAATAAGGTATTAAACCTACACAACATTTTTACCATTTTTATAATATAATAAACTATTATAGATGTGAAAAATCCAATTTATTTTTGAATTTATTTATTTTTTGTCTTCTTATGGGCTTAAAATCCAGTTTTTTAACATGAACACTTACAATACAATGTAGCCATACCCTATCGGTACATTTACATTACATTTTGGTTAAATGTACAATTAGTAGGTGGTAGATTTTTTAACATTTTGCGTTATTATACTTTAGTCATTATTGGTTTTACCAGTGCAATATATTATTAATATGTATTAAAACCAAGACCGAAAGCTAAGATTTTGTGTAAATGCTGGAAATTGAAATAGTGTTAAAATAAAACTCTAGGATAGGAAGGAATTACATATTCAATTTGATACCCTTGATTTTCTCTTGTGAATGCTTAGATCCTTGTTATAGTTGACGGCTCACTTGTGTCTTGGTTGCTCATGGTACTTCTCTGATAGCAGAGTGGACCATGAGATCATCCCCATAGTTTGTGTTCGGTCTCAACAGGCTAGCCATTAGGGTGTGGTTCTTGAGTGCATCCTTAACCGTAATGCCATTCCTGCAACCCCTAATTAAGATGGGCGAAGTTCCATTGGGTTTTAGTGGGTAGTATTGGTTTTACTGGCCGGTGAGTCCTATATAACCTAAACAAAATAAATCTATTTTGAAGATTCTCTAATCTAATTTAAGATTTGATTATTGTGCAAGTATTTTTATTACGTAATACAATTGATAAAGCAGTATGAGTGCTTTGCTTTATTACTGTTACTGAACAATTACTGTGGGAGTTTAGGTCAAATTAAAATGGTATCTATAAAACAGATAAGTTATTCAACAGAAGGAACAGTAAACATTATACATTTTTTATAGATTTTAACCAACTTGCATTATTTGATTTTCTATGTGTGTCTTACCTACAGTCTACTATCTCTTTAGAACAATAAGTATAATATTTAGACTTTTCACAGATTTTCTGCTATTATTTCATTTAATGTTAAAACCTAATATAAAGTAGTTCATGATTTATTTTTCTTTATCGTAAAAAAAAATTGGTTAAATAATGGTGAAATAATTACACACACAAGCATACTTAATTTACATATTATATGTATGTATATGTATTTAAATTTTATTGAAAATGTTTTTAAACTTTATTTTCAATTTATTTATAACAGAATTCCAATGAGGTTTTTGTTTATTTTACTTATATACTAGCAACAGTGTTGATAACTAGCATCACCATGACATGCAAAATTTTACATGCTGTCTGTGTCTAATCGGTTTGGTTTTTTACTTTTAATTAGACTTGCAACAAATAGTATATGCGGCCATACGCCGAATACAGAATATTCGGTAGCCTTTCTGGCCGAATAACCGAATTTTAGGCAAAAGTATTCGGCCAGCACGTGGTGCGAAAACTTGTATCTACGTGTTTGTCTCTTGTTTGGCGCCGGGGGGCAAAACAAGAACAAAATTTGGTCACCTACTTTTGGCCCTTTCAAAACAATAACATGTCAAATACGAGCTCGCAGGCCAGTACACAAACGCTAGACTAGATTCGATAATCTTAGTAAGTCGTTGGCGCGGCAGCAAGTGGCTGGCGAGCTGGAGCTCACCGGACGCTTGCTGCTCTAGCGTTTTTGTATGAATACAAGTGGACCGGGCGCGTAGCGCAATTTTTTTATAAGTTAACACATAATATATTGTAAAGTAGTTCGTAAAACTCGTAACCCGACTGAAACATAACTTTATCGACAACAGTATGCATATACGATCTGGATCTGGGGGGGGAGGCAGCTGCCCCCCCTGCCCCTACCTGGGTACGCCCATGATTATTTTCATAATATATATTCTTAATAAAAAAAAATTACACTAAAAATATTAATATAGGCTTATTCGGCCGAATAGCATAAAAGTAGCCGAATAGGCCGAATACCGAATAGTAGCCGAATATTCGTTGCAAATTTACTTTTAATTAAATGATTTTATTTTTAGTACAGATTTAAATCTATACAGATAAATAAAATTGAAATGTCTGTTTGTAATGTGAAACAAAAATATTGTAAAATTTTTGTCTGCCTGTCTGTCTGTTTGTTTCGGCTAATCTCCGAAACGGCTGGACGGTTGTTATAAAGAGTAACTTAGGCTACTTCTATTTTACAAAAAGAATAAGGGTTCCACTCAAAAAAAGAAATACCCAGGGACCCACCCGAGCGAACTAATGGTAAGTCGATAGTTTAGAATATGCATGAGAATCGTGTAACAGTTTTCTGATTGTTACTGTTACAGCCTAACCGCGGAACATCAATTGTTATCATAACATTGTCAAGGTGAATTAACATTGTAGTAGGGAAATATGGCATGTTATTTTTTATCATTACGAGTAAAACATAGTTTGGTATATCGAAATCCATACTAATATTATAAATGTGAAAGTGTTTGCTTGTTTGTTTGTCCTTCTTTCACGTCAAAACGGAGTGACGGATTGGCTTTTTGTGTGGAGATAGTTGGAGGGCTGGAGAGTGACATAGGCTACTTTTTACCGCGGGAGATTATCTAATTCCCACGGGAAAACACGTTATAATACAATTCAAAAAAAAGTATTAAAATAATGTACTTCTATGGCGTCTGTTGTCTACACTACTAGTAATGAAAAAGCTGTTTAGTTTGCAATCCATGTCAGAAATTATATGAAAACTATCTTAATTTCAGCTTTCTGAAAGCATCAAACTAACTCTATCAGAATGGAGTAATCAAAACGGTCAGATTCAAAACGGTACAGCACTTACAGACGATTCAGATTACATGGTTGTGTCTACATCAGCTAACAGTGAAGTAGTAAATATAACAAGGCCACATGATGACGTGCAAAAGAAAATGGCGGAAGAGGAACGCAAAAACTTAAAAATTGGAGTCAAAATATTCATAAATGAAGATAGTACAACAGCATTGAGGGAATGCTTGGAAAATGGTAGGTACTTTTGCTCTTATTAGTACCCCCGCACACTGTAGACTTTATATCGTTCGATAATTTCGTCGGGTTAGGATGGGTTGACAATGAACCAACTAAATATGTGCAGATCAGCCCTCAGTTGGCTATTTGTACTCGAACGATGATTTAGTTTGTAAGCTCTTTTCAAAGCACAATGAAAATTATTATAAATTTATGACGTATACCTAAGGTAAAAATTATACTGAGTTGTTGGAGTGGCCGACTAAATAATTAGCAAGTGTGCACGCGTACGCATAGTCCGGTTTGTCAGCAATTATAGTGTGGACCATTAGCCTTTCTCTTGATATCGAATATATACATTGCTCGCCTGTGTATTTCTTGATACTGTTTATGAACAGCTAATAGAAAGTCCGTAGTGTGCAGGTTGATTCAAGTGATGATCTAAGTTTGATTAACTACTTAACTCCATTAATATTATAAACGGAAAGTTTGGATGGATGGATGGATATTTGTTACTCAATCCCCCCAGAACAGCTGAACGGATCTGGATGAAAGTTGGCACAGAAATAGATTGTCAGGAAAAACACATAGGTTACTTTTGATCCCGGAAAAATGTACGGCCCCCTTGGGATAGATTTATTTTTGTTTTTCACTAGGGACGAACCCGACCGAAGCGAGGGTGAGTCGCTAGTTTATAAATAAAACAAATAAAATCTGTTTAGATAATGTCTATTATTATATATTATCGCAATGTAAATTTAAGATAAAGAAGGCTATTGGCAGAGCACTTGAGGCCACTGTGTAACGAGTTAGTAGTTAATTAGTACCTACTTAAAACATGTCAAGTTTGACCGACACACTTTTACATACTAAAGGTATCATTTAAATATTAATCGTAACAGCTATTGTATTTGAAATTCTAGAACAATCTTATATGCACCTTGTTGTTACTGATTTTATTAACCGTAAAGTACGAGGTAAACGTTTTGTTTTTCCTTATGCAACAAAGGTTGAATGGCGGAAGTGATATAATCAGTTTATTTTATCTTGATTCTTGATAACATATCGATATATTTGTGATATATTATCTATGACACTCAAGCATCGTGTACAGATAATATATAAATGTAATATGATAATATAGCACAAAAATAATTTTTGTCTCTTTTATTGTTTTTGATTTTGTGAACTTTTATTTTGGGAGGTTATCGAGTGCGGAAATTGATAAAAATTATAATTATCTATACATATAATAAAATTGTAACCAAGCCGAATCTGTACATTAAATATTTTTTGGAAAATCTTATTTAAATAAACATTATTATTATCATTTTTTCTAACTATTTCAATCATATTAGTTTTAATCATTAACTATAATTAAAATCAGTAATACAAATGATATCACATACCTATAATATTATTTAAGACTAGCATTGCCTGCGGCTCCGCCCGCGTTCAGATGACCAAAAACCAAAATTCTTAGGTTTTACATATTAGTATAGTCGTACATTGCAGTTTTTGTATTTTTTCTCAGAAATGAGGTATTTTCCCAGGGTAAAAAGTATCCTATATGTTGACCCGGATAACCAGCTATCACCATACCAAATTTCATCAAAATCCCTCCAGTGGTTTTTTGTGTTGCGGTAACAGACAGACAGACAAAAATTCTAAAAACTATAGAGCCAGCCTCTGTATCGATAATAATAACTATTTCAATAAGATTTTCCAAAAAAATTCGAGTCAGTTATAATTTTATTATATGTATAGATATTGTACAATGTACAGTCGCAGTGAAGTAGGAATAATCATGACTTATTATATCATGTTATAAATCATTTGTATTGCTTGCTATTCAACATTATTTTTGTGGTGTTAAAGATTCATATTATATGATAAATTATATGAAATTATTAGCTTTTTGTTTATAGAATTCTTGTTATTTGATTGATTTTCTAAAATAATACATAGTTTTTTCAATTTTTGCTTCATTAGTCTAGCGGCTCTGCTCATGTATATTATTTTAATGTGTATAAAATAATATATAAACTTCAGATTGCTATCAAAATTCACCGGATGGGCTAATCTGAAGATTACCTGAAAATTTCATCAAACTATTCATTAAAAAAATTATTGTATGTTAAGGATGGTCACGCATAAATAAAATATAATTTCCTAGTGCTCTCTAGTAGAGAGTATTAATGTTTGTATTATAAAAGATTTAGATAATACTAATTTTAGCGGCATTATAAACTTTTAAGTCTGCTAACAATTTTTATTTCTTTTTAGTTTTCACAGCCCTACGCACAGGACATATAGAAAATGTAATACTGGCGTACAACCCTGATCTAACGCATCGTGAGGAAGTTAAGGATGATGCTAAAATTAACAGTGCGTTTACGAAGGCATCTCCTATATCCTTGGGCAGTAATGTTGGTATGTATGTTTTATTTATTCGATATATATTATTTAAAGTGTCTGTTCGGGCGTTCATTCACTAAATTATCATATTATATAAGTAATATAATAATTGTTATTTTTTACAAAAAAAAAACCGCATCTGTATACAAAATTTGATCTAAATCGTTAGAGCCGTTTCCGCGATACACGAAATAAATTTGTATACTTATAAGAATTGCTCATTTAATATTATAAGATTATAGAAAAAACTAGTATAGTCTGTCAGCTTCAGTATGGAACGACCTTTATTTGGGGACGCAGGACCCATACCCTTTATATTTGAATGACTGACTCGCTTTGCTCAGGTGTTTAGAAATGAATAGTTATTGCGAGTACACCTTAGGAGAAATACTTGTACTGTTGCAGATTTTTCTGTAGGCCTTATTAAGACCTACAATTTTCTAGTTCATTGTTTTTATGTATCTCTTAAGGCTTAGCCAGCGTTAGACATGTACATTTCTAAGAACGACTCGATAGAACCAGTTATTGTGTCATCCCGTGGGAATGAAAAATGTTCCTGTAGTGAAAAATATCATAAATGTTGACCCGAGTAATAAGTTATCACTACACAAAATTTAGTTAAAATAGGTTCAGTACTTTTTGCGTAAAACGCGCACACCGATTTCGCTAAGTTACTGTTTTATTATATGTATATATTCAATATTTCTACAACCTGAGGCTTTATATTCATGGAAAGAAGATATCTTGGTGATCTGGATAAAAATACTTTTTCTTTTAATCAGAATAGCATATTAAATAAAACTTTCTTTTCGATCACGAGAGAGACTACGTTCTAAGACTTACAGAATAGCAAAACACAATATTTTCTACTTTGAGATTTTTAAACTGTGGCTTTCCTATATATACTGAATACTGTATCATAGTAAAGACTGACCATTAAGTCCAATGGCTTAGAAATAGCCATAAATAATTCTAACAAAACGTTTACTCAGCAATGATCTTTGTTAGCAAATATGACGTAATGCCTAGTGCGATGCAGTACAAGGCTTCGTTATGGTCCACTGCCTCACCTACATTTCATCTTGTTGAAAATATTTGCAATCGACTTGTGCCGATTATTGTATATATCAATCAGTTGATAGAATACTTTCTTAGATTTACGCGAAGATTTGACATTTTAAATATAACTACCTTTTTCGATTATTTCGCGGATTTATTTTGATTTTTGGTTCCCGGCGTTTCGAATGCCTTACAGCAATCTTGGTCAAGGGAGAGACTACTTCAGTTAAAATTTTACTTAGATATAATTTGCAGAATAATGCGGAATGAAGACATGGTTTATTTTGTGTTGTGGACAATCTCAATGAGTCTAGCCACTACCAATTAAAATAAGAAAAAAAAAAAATCACTAACGATAATTTTCATAGACAACGAAGCTTAAGATATTGTGATTACTTTTAATTTATATTTTTTTACGTATTATATAACATATGGGTGTCGTTTTTTTTAATTGTTTCTATTTTGTTTACAGTACGCATGCCGAGCACAGAAATGGAGCCGGATAGTGAGGCGGACGCGAAGAAGTGCGAGGCCATCCTGCCCGGCATCAAAGTGTTGTGGGCGGTGCTAGAAGAATATGTTAAAGAAGGTATGTATATTATATACTCCTCGCGAAACTTCTTGGCCATCTTGACGGTTAGCGCTAGCAAGACCTCGCAGATATATTCAAGTGGACAATAGTTAACGTAATTATAAATATATGTTAATAAAGTAAAATAATATTCTTATTTATTACACTTTCATATGCAATGATTTGTTTTATTTGGTTTTAATAAATATAATTATAATATTGATAAATAAAATTAATTAATATTACTGGGAAATTAAATAGGTATATCTCATCATCAAATACATTTTAAATGTCAAATTGACCTCCTTTTCGAGGTTACTTTTCATAAATAACAAAAGTTAATACAATAAAAAGTAACAAAACAAATATTGTAACAAAAATAAAGACGTAGACGTAAAATAAAGACCTTAAGGATTTTGTACTCGAGTTTGTTGTGTACATATAGTTTATGTATAGACGTGTCACGCACACTGCGCTGGACGAGCTCTCGGGTGCCGCGCGCGGGACACAGAGGCGCGCCCGATACCTTAATGTTTCGTTCTGCGCAGTGTCTCGCGCCAATTCAGGGTGACCAAAAAGTTTGGCGAGGACAATCACAAACTATCTGGTATCCATAACACCAGCTTCGTAGCTTACCACGGAACTAGATGGTGCCGTGTGTTAATGTCCCAACATATATAACTATTTATACAAACATTCGTGTTCATCACAGAAATGAATGCCCCCCAGCGGGACTCGAACTCGCGGCCGCTTGCACAGTAAGTAGGGTCACTACAAACTGAGCCAAACGTGACGTCAAATCGACGCCAAAACGTGATAAATATTGGAATGCTATTCCCAGGTCGCGTCCAACAGCTGGGCGTGGCGGACGTGGGCGGCGGCTGCCTGTACAAGCTCCACGCGTGGGCGCACATCAAGCCCAGCATCGCGCAGATAAACCTGGCGTCGTGCTGCGTGGTGCCGCCCACCCTGCACGAGTTCTGCAAGACCAATGATGTCCAGCTCCTTACACATGGAGATCCCCCGGGTGAGTTTTCTATATATTTATATATTATATATATTATATATATATATATATATATACGTATACATATTACTATACATATATAGTGACGTTGTTCGCATTATACTTTCGTTGATTTACGTGAATATTTGACATTTTAAATAAAACTACTTTTTGGGGTTTTTTCGCGGATTTATTTAGATTTTTGATTCCCGACGTTTCGAATGCGGGCGAGACTAAGGTATAAGCCGTCTCAAATGTCATTTTACAGTTATAATTTTGTTGGTAGGTGCTGTCTGTAACAATTATATATTTTTTTAAATGTTCAAATGAGCGCTCATTCGGTGAGGACATTTTTTGTCGCTGATTGCGTATCTAGTACTTTTTTAATCGATGTCTTAAAACAAAAAAAAAACAGGTATTTTCATTATTTTTGTTGATTATAATTTTTATTGAACATTCAAGTTTTTGATTTACAAAATGAAAGCAATATACAAATCACTAAAATGTAGTACCAGATATAACCAATATTTTTATAAGGAAATAATTTTTGCATAGAAAACTTAAATTATCTGGAACTAAGCCATAAATCGTAATCTTTGATATCTACATGATATATTAAATATCAACATTTATATTCTTTTTTTTAAAAAACTGTCCAGACATTATTTGTTTTAATTGAATCTAGATATTTCCATTCTTTTATTAATCCAGTACATAACTGTACTGTGTATTTTCCAAATTTTCTTTAGTACATACATATTTTTAATAAAAATATATCTTTTTCTTTCAGATTTCTTATCTCTAGCCGCAATAAAGACCCTTTCAGACGCAGGCATCGGCTGCAACAATCTCGACTGGTGTGCCAGATACCAAGTTCATATCAAGTGTAGGGGAGTCCTAGCACTTAAAGGATATGTGTGTAAAGCTACCCTCGGGAAAAAATAACTAATTGTCTATGCTTAAATTATTATAATTATTTATATTATTAATAATACGTGATATATTAATGCCTTTCACATGTTGACTACTAAGTGATCCATTCGACTTATACTAAAAAAAAATGTAAAAATATTGAAATGCAGATTAAAATATTGCTCATTTATTTATTTTTGTTTTGTTCTTAAATTATGTTTATTATCTGTGATCAATGAATTAACTAAAGTTGCTTTTATTGAAAATGATAAAATCGGGTTTCTAAAATACTACCAGTAGCCATTTTGAAATTATTGGTTGAAAATATAACATTGATATAAATATTTGTATTTCATGAAATATGTTATAATTAAATTTCTGGAAAAATCTACACTGTATTCAATTTGTACTATTTTTATATATAATTATATTAATTATTTGTCACAATTCATGTATCGATATTTATATCTGTAACACTATTTTTCTATAGTCAGTATTAAACGCCACTACCCCATAAAGTAACCCTTATGTGAAGTTAACGGTTTTGGATCTAGTTTAATATATAATCTAAACCATGCTAAACTTAGGTACTTAAAATTTGTGAACGGTACTTAATTGGTAAAATGTATACTGCGTATCCATTAAAATCTGATATAGATTTTTATATTTTCAAAATGAATTACAAAAATATTTTATTTTTAGACATTCCTTATATCACTTACAGGTCAAATGCGATGAGACTAATGGCAAAAAAATATTACAAAAATGGTAATATGGTGAGTCGGCAATCATTTTTTTATATAAATCTAAAAATGTATTTATTATCTGTGTTTTATAAGATCTGCTTTTATTAGTCTCATAGCAATTAACATGTATTTCTTTGTTTGGCTTAATAAGACCTTTGTACAATATCTAAAAAAAATAGAAAAAAAAGTATAATGTCATATTCTTCATGTTTGAAGGATGACTTTGAAATAAAATAAATAAAAATGAATGAATTTTGCATTTTATATGGAATTTATTTCAGTTATATGATTGTTTGTAAGATCTGACAGTTCATGATCCTCGCGAAATTTTGTCAAATTTTTTTCTTTTTGCAAAATATTGATTTAAGAAAATTATCAATTGCATAATCGAATAATGAAATTATATCGATTTTATAATTGTCAATTTTAACATTTTATTTTATTAAGAACACTCTAATGATTTAGTGCAAACCTAAAATTACTTAGTAATTTAGTATCATCAATAAATAAAATATATATAATTGTAAGATGTTAGATGTAATTCAACTATGTTGAAATTAAAGTATTTAATACGAATTCTGTTGTTTAATTTATTATTATTTTATTTCTCATTATCTGATTTCAATTTCATGATTCATTCACGTTACACGACATTATAGTGCATCATATGAAATTTAATTTAAGTTTAAAATGTAAAATTGTGGAGTCAAAAGTGCTTGAAAAGTCTATTTGAATAAAGTATATTTTAATTTGAATGAATGAATGAATTAATTAAAGTGATTAAACTAAAACTTATACTTTTGCATCGCCTGCTTTATGTAGGTAGATAGTTTTATTATTCCTTCGATGTCACATATTTTTCGTGAGAATATCTTTTCTTGATTAATATCTATTAATAAACTTAAACACGGATATTTTTAGATATGTGAGCCCGGATATGCTAAAACGGATGGACGGAACGTTGAGCTCAGGTGTGTTAGCCTGGATATGTTTACTTGGATAAATTAGGCCGGATGTGTTAACACGAATATGTTAACCCAGATACGTTAGCCCGGTTATATTAGCCTGGATATGTTTACATGGATATGTTAGCCCGGATATGCTAACACGGCTATGTTAGGGATATGTTTTATATTGTTAAAATATCTGGGCAAGCTATTTAACAATTACGAGGGAAAATAGAATCGGATAAACATATGTATATACACATACATTCAAACACATAACACTTCTTTGGGGTTCGTCGCAGTTTGGTAAAAATAATAATAAGCCTAACTACCTTATGCTTTTTTGTATTTAAAGCATCGTGTAAACCGTAAAACATAACCCATTAATGAAAAATTTAATAAAACTAATTTTTGCCCTTACCTAAGTTACGTAATGAACAGGGCTGCCACATAACGGTCGTTGATTTACCCGACCAATAACCTCAAAATACCCGGTTTATCCCGAAGGTACACACACAGGTAACAAAAACTGAAAAATCCAAGTAATGTTGTTAAAGTAAAAAAAATATTATAAACAAAGTATAAATATTTTTTTAAATTTTGTGGCGCGATCTTGTTAAGTATGTATGTAAGAAAGGCTCTACAAAGCGAAATTTTTTTACGACCATTATTTAAACATTTTTTTTCACTTACAATTAAGACGGTAGTTCGAGAAAATTTTGTTAGTTAACAATTGTTTAACTTGTTGAAAAATTAACTATAATAAAATTTCCAACGGGAATAATTAATTTATAGTGTTCAGAATACACCATAATTTTTTCAAATTTAAAAAAAATATTCAACACCTTAAATAAATTAATTAATGTGCCGTACTCGCTTTTGACGCCACGCGTGCAACCTAAAAATGTCGCGCTCAGACCTATTTTCAGCGTTAAATTAAAATTATAAATAATAGAGATAGAGTTCCGGGAGTTAGGAGTTTTTTATTGGAAATTTCCTCCTCTTTCAGAATCTTTTTTTGAAATTTCTTAAATATTAATAGTTTATGAAATATTGGCAAAAAACGAAATGCCATTTTTTTTCATCTTTAATTGTTTATAACTTTTGCAATTTTTTGTGCTAATACACGCTTTTGGCACATTTTTCTAGGCGTCATACCGGATCCAATGAGCTATCGCACATAATTTTAAGAGCAGTATCTCTATTTTGTACCATTTTCAACTTATGTTACCATATTGACATTATTGGATTTCAGTAATACCTTCAATGCTGTAGATTTTGATATCCTACTTGCCATATTATCTTCTCTTAACATATCTCCTGAGGTGATTGATTGGTTTCGTAGTTACTTGTGCGGGCGCCGGCAACGCATACGAATTGAAGATCTTTTCTCTGATTGGTCTATGGTTAAAGCCGGTGTACCACAAGGTGGCGTGTTGTCTCCTCTCTTATTTTCGATTTTCATTAATTCTATTCCCGATCAAATCTCTTCTCTCTACCACCTATATGCGGACGACTTACAAATTTACACATCGTCATCTGTGCCAAACTTACCTCATGCAATTAGTTTAATTAATAGAGATCTGTCCTGTATTTCAGCATGGATTGAATCTTATGGCCTTGATATTAATCCTTCTAAATCACAAGCAATTATAATAGGCAGCCAGAGGTTACTATCAAAAATATCACGATCTGGGACGCCACCGGTTATATTGAATGGTGTCGAAATTCAGTATTCTGATAAGGTAAAGAACCTGGGGATCATTTTTGATCAATATTTATCTTGGGCACCACAGGTAAGTGAACTGAGCCGAAAGATGTTTGGTGCAGTTTCCGGTCTTCGGAGGTTGCGAAACTTTTTGCCCATATCAACCAAAGTTGCAAATTTCGCAAAAAGCTCAAGTGGCTCCCAATCCGCCTTCGCAGGAATACTCATGTACTTCATCTTCTCTACTGCGTGCTGTTCTACCCTTCTTCTCCTTTCTACCTTAGAGAGCGTTTCCAGTTTTTGAGTGATACCCATACTCTTCCACTTCGCTCTAGTGAAACGTTGTTGCTTAAAATTACTTCTCACTCCTCCTGTTTCCTTACCAACTCCTTCGCAGTAAAGGCTGCACGCTTATGGAATAATCTTCCAATAGACATCAGGTGTGCCAAAAAATTTGATAATTTTAAGGTACAGTTAAAATCATATTATTTGTCTCTATAGTATCTTATATTGAACTTTTTATACTTTTTCATCTAATCTACATTTATGTATGTATGCATTGTATTTATGCATTTATGTATGTATGTATTATGTATGTATGTATGTATGTATGTATGTGGATATGCAATTGTGTGTAGTAAGTGCACCGCCTACCATTTCATATAATTTCTCCTACGCCCTAAGGTTGCCTGGAAGAGATCGCTTATAGCGATAAGGCCGCCTGCTGTGCATCATCTATTGTTTATATCTTCTTTTGGTATATTTATTTGTGGTGTACAATAAAGCATTTATCTATCTATCTATCTTGTCGACTAGATGGGTTTGATCATGTACAGTTTGGCAGAAATTTTATTTTTATTCTTTATGTTATATATTTTATAGTTTAATAAATAAACTGCATAATTTGACACTTGTAATAGACCACCCTTGACTTACGTATTATCAGTCAATTAATATTCCAAACAACGAAATGAAGCGAATAACTCCTACAGTATGAAATAAAAAGGGGTTAGCAGGATACCGGATATCGCCTTCCGCGGCGACCCTTCGTTTCCGGTGAATTTTTTATGCATCACAATTTACGCATTTTTATTGAATCAGCTGTGCAAAATACGTATATTTTCTTATAATCAACTTTTATTCTTAATTAAAGAGCTTTGGCGAAATAGTTAATTTAAAATTTTGAGATGGTTTTGTGTTCATATCTCAAAAATAAAAGTGATATCGGATTAAGACTACTAGATATTTTTTTTTAAATTTGTCTTTTTTATACACATAGGCACATATATAACTTTACATATCGTGTAAAAGAAATACATACTGTTAATTATAAAAAGATTTCTGAACACCATCATGGTTTTGAAATGTGTGTTTACAGCATAATCCTATTACATAATACAGTTGAATATCGGATTACTATCTGCCACGATTTAGTAAAAAATTAAAACGAAAATACATGCAGTTACCTACCTACAAGCTCTACCTACTAACTCTGACCACATCTACCCTTAACCGCATGCATTTGTAACTATTTGCAATAAGCTAATACCCCTAGTACAAGAACACTAAGTAGTGTATTTCACACTTCCTATATACTCGTAGGTACTATAACTAGCGACTCACCCTCGC